CCATCAGGCTATCACTGGTATAGTATAACATCATGGAGAAATGAAGCACTTGCGCAGCCTGTAATTTTCCTTATGGCTTGCTTCAGTGAGTATTTTTCCAGTTCTGCTGTTCTCTTTGCTTCATGCTGCCACATACACAAAGAAGGTTCTTGATGTAAGTATGATACGTATATGTTATGATTAATATAGTTAGTATTCTTGGGGTTTATAAACAGGTTTGAGTTGCAGCTCTGGTTTGGTTTTCATTGGCTGCATTAGAGGAATTAGAATGAAACTGTAATATAGAATCTCAACTATATTATTTTTCTCATTAATTATTTTTCTTCAAATTTCTTTGAAGGAAACAAAATCTGTGGAACAGTTACATTGAAACTTAAGACACGTCTTTTTCAAGCTAAACCATAGTCTCTGAATTTTATTGTTCTATTTCAGTAATAAAGTAACAAACTACACGGTGAGACTAGCAAGGAAGGTACTTGCCATTTCGACTTGCTTCTCAATGCACTGCCTTGTGCATCTTAATGTAACTCCAGGCTTTGGTGTTCCTAACTGGGCTGTCATGCTACCATAGGCACTTCCTCCTAGTGGACTGAACAAGGCTCGTGGCTGTCTCTGTGCAGTTGAACCTAAAATTTGTGGATGAGGGAATTGCAACATCTGATGCTTTTAGTTGAACTCTGTAAATTATGGAGTTCAAGCCTGTAGTAGTTTTCTTCAGGATATTAATCTCAATGAATCAAGTAATCTCTCTGATGAAGTCTTAAAATGCTGAAATGGGTGTTAAATAGCAATTGTTTGCATTTTGTTTTCTCTGTACTAATGGAGATAGATGTAACTTTTATGTTTTCTGTAAATAATCTTTTCTTCTTTAAAGGCACGAAGTTCAAATAGTTTTCCGTTTTTGAGAAACCTCTTAGAGAAACTGAATGCTAATCAACAGAATATTCTAAAATTCATTGCCTGCAATGAAATTTTCCTGATGCCAGCTACAGTTTTTATGCTCTTCAGGTAAGAATAATGATAAATATTTAAGTAATTAGAAACTTGCTACACAAGACTGTTTTTTGCAAGTGAGTTCTCTGTGGCTCATAGTATTCCATTTGTATGGTTCTAGCTGACAAAGGCTTGAACTTCAAATAAAATTGAAGTGATTCTTAGGCTTCTTAAGTTGGTGCATCCTGACATCAAAAGGCATTGACTGTGATGTAACTGAGCACCAGAAAACCTTCCCTTTCATAGTGTGGGTGATGAGTCACATGGGAGTTTTTCAGGCTTGACACTTGAATTCGCCTACATTTCTATCAGTACATTGTTCAGTAAGTTTAATTTTGGTTCATTTAGTTGAATATTAAAATCTTCAGCTTCACTGAAAGTGAACTTTTATTCTTGACAATTAGATTCCTGAAATTTAAATGGCAACGTTTCATTATGCAAAAAGTGTGCAAGCACGAGTAGGTTGCATTCTCTCCTATGCTGCTTCTGAGCAGTGACCCTTCTGGGTCTTTTTATTCAATTTGATTTTGTTTGCTGTGTTGCCTGTTGGAGTCATTTTAGCGATGTTGAACATGTTGAAATCCGACTGAAGTTGTACAGGTATAATGACCTGCCAGTCACGGAAGTTTGGGTCATTGCCTTTTAATATTTGGAGGGGGAATGCGGCCTTTGTTCTATACAAGTTATAGCATGGTGGGAACATTTGTCTTGAGTGGTCTCATAAGCAGTAGAAAGGAGGCTTTACCTTCTTGGATAGGATGCATAATTTGTCTTTATCTTTTGATATATCAGCTGAACATTTTAATGCTTCAGCCCTAAAGGATTGCATTCCATCTGAGACTGCTTACCAGCTGACTGATACACACTATCCAGTATCTGAAACTTTCAAGTGCTTTGAAACTTAGTACAGTTTTTGTTTTTCTTTTGCCTCCCTATGGAGAATGTAGTATGTGAAATATTGCTGCTTGATACGTCATCTGGTAGATACTAAAGCTTGTAGAAGGTCATATGCCAAACTTTAAAATAATAGACTTGCTAAATGCAGCTCTTGTGAGATTTTGTTCTTTAAATGTTGTAGCATATTAAATTGTTTGTCAATACTGTACAGGTTTCAAGATTTCCTCTTTCTTCCCTCCTGTAGCTCATGTTCACTTTATATTTTCCTTCTGGCTAAAGATGCTGCTAATACTTACTTACTGGAACTTACTTATCATGTTTAAATTCAAATAGAATTTTTCAATAATGTGTTATGTAAAGTGGTTTAAGTCACTAAAACTTAGGGTATTTCTGTGCTTCTCTGTGTATGGTTTGTGTGCTATTTTCACTATTTCACAGCACAGCCATGTCAGTCAGCAGTTTTGTGAAGTACTAAAGCCTAATTTCACTGTAACTGAAATAACTGGGTATTAGCTTGGCAATAAAGTCTCATTATACATCTGTAATTGTGTGCAGTGTGTGTGCTGAGAAAGTTTGCAAAAGAAATATGATGTTAGAAATATGGTCCAGATATTCAAAGTGCTGCAATTAGATTGAACAGGGTCACTGTAACTGGGCTGCATATGTCAGCCAGTTTCTGGGCTTACCAACAAGTGTTTTCGTGCTATGGAACATGTGTCCACCAGAAATGAGGCATATAAAAGCAGTTCATAAATATAAATTCAATACAAGAACAGCACTTAAACTGCTTCATTGAGCAGTTTTATTCTATAATGTTTCTGCATTTTTGAGTGTATAGTTACATACTTTTTCTTGTCAGATCTATATTTTCTATACCAATGTGACCCAAATCTAACTTTTTTTTTTTGAGTCCAACTAGTTTGCTTGCTTTTCTTAATTTTTTTTTTTTTAAAAATTCCTGGTTTTGGTGTTTTGTTTTGGTTTTTTGTTTGTCACTAGTAAGCTCTACTGAACTATTCTCTTTCAGTGGACAAGGGAGTCTGCTCCAGCCATTCATTTACTATAGGTTTCTTACATTACGCTACTCTTCTCGGCGAAATCCGTACTGTCGGTAAGTGCTAAATTGATTTTGGAAGTTAGTGTTTAACTGCATGGTGCTTAGGCATTCAGAGAAATTTCTCATTCTAAAATGAACTCATAATACTACATCTGCAGATGGCACTTATAGAATGTAAAATACACCTGGATGCTAAAAAAAACCCTGTCTGATTAAAGGTTAGATTTATTTCACGTAAGTGATCAGAAAAAGTACCACCGTTCTTGAATGGGAGTTTTCAGAACATGCTTGTGTAATTAAAACTACACTTTGGGAATAGAAAGTCTTTCTTATCAGAGAGATATCCTTATTTTTAGATTGTAGGTACATCTGAGGCTAAGCCCAAATATGAATAGGCACTTAAAAACTTGTGTAATAATGAGAGAAAAAAAATTCTGTGGATGATCTTAAACATGTTCATTACCTTCTTTAGTTAAATTCATAAATAGAGCTAATTTGTATTTTAAAAAGTATTTGAAATAGAACCTTACTGATTTTGAAAGTTGGTCAAGCCAATATTATTGTTTTAGACTTTGAAATCATAAATATTCCTATGAGTGTTTTTTCAGGTGAGTGCTTTTTAGAAGTTTTCTTACGAGCATTGCAAGCATAAGATTTTGTGAACAGACATTCCAGTCGACTCGATCAGAAAATAACTTGCTAGAGTGCCAAGAAAGTGGCTTTGGCTGCCACAATATGTAAAGAGACATGTGTGAGAATCATAAGCTCAATTGTCTTCTATTCCCTATTTTTGTAAGAAATCAATTATTCCATCCTACTACATATATTTATTTTTAACAAGACTAGCAACATCTATGAAGTTGCTTTACTACTTCGGTATCTAAAAGTAATTTAAGCTGTACAATACTACAATACTAAAATTGACATTCAGTAGAACTAGTTTATCCAAAATGTTCTGCTGGCATTTTTGTAGTTTTAAGGGAAATTGGTGATGAGGGTTTTATTTATCATGTCTCTCTTCTAATAGTTGCTTCTGCAGTGCAGGTTTCTTGCATATTGCCAAGAAGTAGCACAAATACAATAGCCTCCCAGCTCCTTACACTATTTGTGATAAAGCATTATTCTATTTCCTCTTTTTTACAGTGCTTGTGTAGCCTTTACAGTCTTTCTTTTTTTTTCTTTTGTTTTTTTTTGCTTGAAGGTGGAGTTTTTCTGCTGTGTCTAGCTTGGTAACTTCCAGCTGAGGATAGAGTTACTTAAAATGTTAATGTTTAAAAGTCAAAAATTCTGAAGCTTTTGGAAGCAGTACTGAGTTGGTCTAAAGAATTTAACTTAAAATGTGTATGTGAGTGTGATACTGAGAAAAGAAGTTAATGAAAAAAATATATGTGGATAAGACTTCTGATAAATGCTGTAGGATTTTAAAACTGTCTTTAAATCTGATTTTTCAGGACTCTCTTCACCGAGCTCAGGATTGTTGTTGAACACTTAATAACGAAGCCCTCGTGCCCTGTTTTTGTAAGAAGACTATGCCTCAGTGGCATTTCCTTTATAAGCAGATTGGCACCAACTGTTGCATAGCCAAATTCAGGCACTCATGTTTTGTGAACATTATGAGCAGCTGGCACTTCTGCTGATGATTGGAAATTCCTGGTTTTACACTGATTTCACTCCAGGCTGTATAAAAATACATAAATGCTTTTCTTGGAGATAATATGAAATTTAGCATATCAAAAACAAATAATAGAAACTTAAATTAACTGTGCTGTATTGTTAACTGATGAAAAAAGTAGCTGCATCCTACCTAAAACATGCCCTATCATGTTTGTTGGGTTTTTTTTTTTGTTTTTTTTTTTAAATCAAGGATTGTTTGAGATTGATTGAAAGTTATTATAAAAGATCTGTGCTCACTAGGTTTATGTTAGTTGGAACTATAGCTACTTTAGGATGTCTCCAGTGGATAGCAGTTGATACATATACCTATGCAGTACACTTTGGACAGTATTCTTCTGCTTATTAAATGTATCTGTAAAGCTATTTTGTCCAATATACAATCCTAAGTGTAGAGATACAGCCCACTTTGAAGTTAACACAAGGGATTAAAATCTATCAAGCTGACAGAGATAACACTGCTTTCTGAACAAGAGGCTATTTTTATTAATAATACTTAAAAAGAATTCTCCCATGTTTCTGCCTTTTGTCCCAATCTTACATTACGCTGTTGGAAGAAATACCAAGACTGATTACAGAAAACTCTGTGAAGTTATCTTGTCATAACAAGTTGTTTTACCAAGCCAAACTGCTGACCTGTAGGATTTTAAGACTAAAATACAATGCTTAAACTTTTAATCATGTCTCAAATGAACTAATTAATGTGAATGAAGTACATTTTGCAGAGTCATTGCAGATTTGTTCTAGTGTCCACACAAATGTGAGACTGCAGTAATTCAAGCATGTTAGCTTTTTAGAAAATTAATCTGTAGGTAGCTCTGTACAAATTGTTATTCCAGTTTCTGAGACCCTCATTGTGATGAGAAATTTGCATAAAGAATTGCACCTGTTTAGGCAGCTTCTGAAACAAATGGGTGTAGGATTTCTTGGCATAAATCCATCTGATGACTGATCTGAAGCCAGTGTCATGACTACAGAAGTGAATATTAAGTTAAGTGCTTAAATTAATTACACTGGTTATGCATTCACCCAGAAGCTGAAGGGTAAGTCATGGAAAAATAATACTGTCTGAACACAACTTCTTTAAAGAAATTCAAATTCAATATTTGCCGAATTTTCTGTAGTTATTGTTAGTATTCTAATTGCATAAAGGGCTTTCATGGGCCTTTTGTAAAATTCTGTAGCACTCAACTATTCTTCCATGGTCAGAGAAACCTTATGAGAAAACAGTTTCAAAAACAGTCTTGAAGCAAAGTATTTTCCTGTAACTATTGAGTTATCTTGTTTGTGATATGGATATCATTCAAATTTTCCAGTTGTATTAGTTTTTAGATCAGAACCATGTATTTATAAACTTATTTCATTGGTTTTTTTGCTCAACCTCTTGGTACTAATGAACCAGTTGGTAACTGAATATGATATTCTTTGACTACTTGTCTTGCTCTCTGAACGTGATTAGCTGTTTATGGAATACTTGCACACTGCAGAAGCAACTGCATGCAGTTAATGCTGTACAGCTGCTAAAGACTTGCAATGAGATTGATTATGTGTATATCCTGTAATTTGAGGATTTGATAAAAACTAAAATTTCTACTGCAATAAAAGGAGTGTTAAATGTAACTCGCTAGGCTCTTCAGGCTTGTTTTCTCTTTAACACAACTTACTGATGCTTGAACCTGGAAGTTGAGCAGAATGCTGTCCTGTGTGTATGTGTGCATGTTCCTATATTCCCACTGCTGCCTCTGAATTGGGATATAATGTCTTGTGCATTTCTAAATCATTTTATAGGGAATTTTTGCCTTGTAAAGTGCAAAAATTTTTGACCTTTTTTTCAAAATCTAACCCAAGAATAAGCACTGCAACAGTGGTATCTAATCAGAGAAAAATTCAGACCTATCTATTACTATTTCAGTTCCTCAGCACGATTCTAGACCCTCTGTCATGTTGCATGATGTTTTTTAATGGTGACATCAGATTCTCTTCAGCTGTTGGCACCACTGCGATGTAAAAATGAATTTGGTCATCTAAGTTGATTCCCCATACTGGGAGTGGAAGGCAAATAAATCTGTAATTACAGTAAGCAAAATAACATGTTACTTCTGAGTAAATTTTTGTGGTCTGACTGCTGTTATGGGTGCATTCTACTGTTCCCTAATTATATGATGTTACTAAGTTAGAGAGGAATCTAAACTGAATCCAGTGTAATGCAGCTTTAACTGAAGGATGCTAAGTAGAGATTCAACTCAATGAATGCAGGAGAAGGATTAAAAGGAGTAAGTGACAAGGAATGACAATGCTGTGAGTAAAGAGTTGGAAGACAGTGCTGTGAAGTAGAACTTAGATGTGAATACTGAATTAATCTCTTTCTATTAAGTATTGAAAATGAGGAAGAAAAAAAAAGAGGAGGAAATTTCATAAAAGGGGTTTGATTTGCTTTGGCTAGTAGTATATTTTTGGCTTTGCTTGACAAATGAGCAGCTTGTGGCCTGGTAAAACTTATTTCTCTGATGTGCTGAGAAAACATGGAACAATGCTGTAACAATAATGTTCAAGCCAAATAAATAGGGTAACTGACCTGTACTCTGCATCAGCTTTGAATTTTACTGTAGCTTTTCAGCTGCCTAAGTGATAACATCGAGTTTCCTCGATGCTGGCAAAAACATTCTATCCTTGAGCCTGCTTCCTCACCACAGTTTGTGACTGTTTCTATTCTAATGATTAAATTAAATGTAAAATGCTGGTAGTATCCTGATAGCTTGAGGGTTTTTTGGTGAAGCAAGCTGTATGTTCATGCTGCTGTGCTGTCAACAGCTAGCTGTGATGCAGAGGCTGTGACACATGTCTGTGATTGTAGAGAAATTTTGCAACTGACCACAAAGTGCCTGCCAATCCCAAAATGAAGCAGAAGAGTTTTTGTATTACTGAAAGGTTTCCTACCTAATGTGGTAACTGTTTCCACTGGTATAAATCATGCTGCTCATTGCTTTTTGTCAGCTTTCGTAAGTTAAGTGCTATTGCACAGATTCTGTGGGTAGACCGACCCCTTGCTCTGTACAAGCTTTTTGTAGAAGTGATGCCCCAGCTTAACAGCTGTCTGTTCTCATCTGTAGATAAAGTATCAGGAGCCATTGGGTCTGTTGCAGTAGCTAATGCCAGTTAGGATTTCTTACACAAAGTAACTCACCAATACATCCATCCTCTCCTCTATTGCCTTTTATTTGATTTTATACATATATTGTCATTTCTGTGCTGTCAGTTTTATGTTTTGCTCCTTTCTTTGATGGGTGTTTAAGTGGAGCAATATCTGTTAATGTCGTAAGGATTTAAATAAAAATTATTATAATAATGAGCCACTATTTCTTCCAATAGTTTTGGAGCTGCTATGTATGTGATTGTTCTGTCCAAACAAATAATGTAGCAAATTATTTTGTACAGTCTGTGTTAGACCCTTTTATCGTTAGGCACCTGTATTGCAACACCTGCTGTACAGGTGCCATGTTTATTACAAAATTCTTGCCCATTTTAAAGACAGGAATGGAGACATGGAAGGAAAGAGCACTTGCCTTATGTAAGAGTTCTGGGAGAGCAGGTAATAGAAAAGAATTGGACAAGTGCCCAGATGAAACTGTTTTGTTTCTGCTCTACATATGACTTGTTAGTCCTGCTCCTAAAATTATTGTAACTGTGGTCTTAAATACTTTAAAAAGTACTGTACCTTACATTGCTCACATAAAAAGTGCTGTACCTTCCAGTGCTCAGATTAAGGGTAAAGAAGATAGTGTGCTAGAACAACACGTTCTTTTAAAGTCAAAATTGATTTTCTTATGCAATGCTAGGTGTGGCCCTTGTATCATCATCTCTGACAAAAAATAATGCAACAGAGTAAGATCCCAAGCCCTTAACATGCTAGATGGTGGCAGGGTATGCTTATCTGTTCTGTCTATAATTTTTAATTGCTGTGGTACACCTATTTGTGGTTGAACTATATATACACTGAAATTGGTTAGTGTATCTTTGTATTGTAACTTCGGTAGTGCTATAATTTTCTTGAAGTCACAGGAATATTCAGGCCTTGCTGTTTTAAATCACCTTTTAAGGACAGAACCTTAAGCAATTCTTTATTCCAAAGATGGAAAGATATCATTATGGATAGTGTAATAGAATTTAATCTTTAATGTGGAGTCAAAAATCTTTTTCATAAAATCTCAGCATTGCTTTTTAACTTCTCTGCAGAAGCTAGCTCTGTGATAATGGCAGATGTTGTGCAGGTAAGGGAGTTTCATTGCTTAGTTCTGTGCCATCCAGATGGTATAAACTTTTAAAATTAATTGAAAAATTCATCTTTTACTTGTATTCAAGGACTGAGGCACAAAATGCTAATGTAAGGGCTCAGAGGGGAAATATAGTTCTCCTGCATATTTGAGAAAATGTGAAGCCCTTTCAAGAAAATCTAATAAACATAATAATCGCAGGCTGCTGACACTAAGGAAAAAGCACCTCATTCGCTCTTTCTTTTATGCAGCGATTTACTGGTCCCTACTGATTTTCAAATTGGATCACTGCAGTAAATTATCCATACCAGTACCTGTGAAAGAAAGCACTGGGATCCATATTTGTTCAGTGCTGTGCTTAAATCAGCAAGAATGATAAATTTGATGGTATGAAATTGGAAATACCAAGGGCTTCTGTCAGTGAATGAGCAAGTAGTTCCATTTGTAATTTATTGTGACCCTTTTTCACTGTATGTGCTTTGTATGTCAAATATTTATTTTAAAACAAATTAAATAGTTTTCTGTATTGATACCTATTGTTTTGTTGATGTTTTTGAAATCAAATTGTGTATTTCTTCTGGATTTCAAATATTACCAGTGTGTGTTGCAAACAGCATTTATTTAACTTCAAATCTCTGAGTGAGCGAGTTACTGACCAACAGCTTTGTGTTAAGTGTTCAGGTGCATGTTGGGTGTTGGTTTTTCGTATATGTGTTTAGAATAGTGCAGAATGCAGTGAGCTACTGCAGCCACTCATTTACTTTTTCTAGAGAAACTGGAAGATTAAGGTGTATATCAAAACAAACCAAAAAAAAAAGAGCTGATCCCTTCCATTAATTCATTGGAACTATTCTGCTTAATATCTGGCATAGATAACACCAAGTCTTGTGGAAAAAAAATCTACCTGTGTGTCCCCAGTCTACTGCCATATTTTCAGTGCAACTGTTAGCGGAGGAAGTTGTATACCTGTGTTTAGGTGTGAGGAAACTGCTTTCCTGGAAGAAGTGCAGATCATGATATTTTCATTTGCTATATGTGTCCCTGTGAATATTCCCTTGTGTTAATTTGCCAGTGTTAAAAACAGTGATAAAAGTATGTTAGATGAAGATGATGCATCAGTTTAGATATTTCACAGGAAAATGAAGCTGAAAATCAAATTGTAAAAGATGCAGGACTAGATTATCTGTAGTATTTAAAGCAGTATCAACTATAATTTTCATGAAGGTAGAATGCAATAGAAAAAGAAGGTAGAAGAATGGGGAGAAAAAGAATGGAGAGAGCACAGAAAATCCCAGAGTCATAGAATATGCTGAATTGGAAGGGACCAGTCAGGATCAGCAAGTCCAGCTCCTGGCCCTACACAGGACACTCCGAGAGTCACACCAGTTGTCTGATATAAAGATGTCTGGAAATCCTGCTGGATGCTCTGTGGCTTTCACAAACCCCATTTCACCATTCATGTTTCCATGCCATCAGTACCCTCTGGATAGTACTTAAATTTTCAAGCTAAATTTTCAAGTAAATTATGTATAATTTATTCTCCATTAAAATACTGTTGAAATAGCCACACTGTACAGGAGCTACAATCTCATCTTGATTTACTTAAAATGGAAAACAGCTGCAGTGGAATTACATGTTCTTCTCTTATTATGTTTGAAAGTTATGCAGAGAAAAAGTAAAGAAAGAAATAATCTGGGATTCTTGGCCTTTGTTTTTGGGTGTTTTTTTTTGTTTTGTTTGTTTTTTTTTTTTTTTTTTTTGGTGCTTTTATCTTTCCATGTTGCTTTGCTGTTTTTTTCTTGGCCATCTGGAGGAAGACCTTATATGTGCAACTCAAGAGGTTTTGTCCTGATGTATGTTTGCATCAAACACGATATAACTTAGTATTAAGTTATAACACAATGTAACTTAGTATTTTAATATTTTTGGATTTTTTTTAATCTAGAAAATCTGACAAAACAGATATTTCCATACTACAATTGCTTTCAACATACTTTCTGCTATAACAATTTCAATTACATTCTGACTAAAGCACAGCAAAAATAATTGTGAATCCTTTCAGCAATAAAGTTTAAATCAAAGCCATGGATAAAAAGTTTTTTGTAATTGTAGATGGAAATCTGAGGTTGACTTTCTGAATTTTCATATCTGTTGGCATTTTCAGTTGTGTAACTGTATAATACAGAGAAATATTGAAGCCTTAGAAAACTACAGGTACAACAACAAGCATCAAGTTCAGCATGTGTTTGAGCATCCAATGTCTCTATTCACATTTCTAATTATATCAAATTTTTTAACATCACTCTGGGGCAGAGGTAAGCCATTCAGTTGCATTAATATGTATGTACTGTGAATGGATGATGTGTATGTATACTTACAGCAGTGGATAAATGACTAAATGAAATGTAGTACTTTGGGGCTTTTTCCCCCTCTTCCTGTCCTCTGGTGTAATTCTCTGCAGAGTGTTACACATTTTTAAGGGAATTAGTTGTTAAAGAAGATTCTTGCACTGCATGAGTGTTTCTAATAATCTGTACTAATTGAACTTATTTCACATTATTGTAATTCTTTTTGATTTTTCCTTATGAGCAAAAGAATCAAGCTGCTTTTAAGCTGGTCTTTGCGTGGTTCATGCAAGAAATTATAGGATGAGTGGAGTAGCAAGAGCTGAATGCTGGTACAAGAAGCTTCCTCCAGACCTGTGTTTTTATGCATGTCTGTATATTACTGTAGAGAATGAGTAGTCTTTTCAGTATTTTATGTATTATGTACCTAGTATTGTTTTTAAAAATTTAAAGCTAGCTTTCTTGCTTTTGGATGAAGGTAAGTGCTGCTAACTTTAAGAGTTCTTTTTCCTTACTCAGAAGCTGGAAATTTTATTTGATGGTATGATTTGTCCATTTGAAATTAAACAGAATTCTTCCTCCATGTACTAATTTTATTCCAAACCACTGACTTCTAGTGTCTTGTTTGTAACTATGAAGCTAAAAATTTTGGTAATGTAATGTGCTTCTCCTGAGTCTATTGGTTAAAGGAAACTTAAGTATCCATTTAAATTTCTCAGGAGAATAATGCCTCTTCACGATTTACTGTCCTTTGGCAGTCACTAGCTGCTGCTGGGGTTGAGGACTGCTGCCCCCAGTTTAAGAAACTGCAGATGACTGCTGATGTTAAGGTGAATGAACTGCACGTGAATAACTGAAAACACTTCTCCATGTGCTGGAAATGAACATATTTACTTTTTGTTTATGTAGATCTTCCATGGAATGACCATGAAATAGCTTTACAGAGCTGCATGACTCAGTGGTGTTATGCAAGTTTCTCAAGATGCACCATTCTGTGCTTCAGAAGAGTCATTCCCCTCGTGCACCTGCCTGTCACAAAATATTGCCTCATTTTCTATGAATTTAAATAGTTTGCCTGAAAACTTAAAGGCTGTTTGGGATCACTGGACATTATGTATTCACACTTTTTTTGTACTATTGGTATGTAGCTGTTTTGTGTTAGCTGTGTATGTGTAGGATCATAAAAGGTACAAAAATCAGAAGTCTTTCCCTTTTCTCTTTTCCCCCCTTGCTATACTATATGAGAGACCCACAAGATAGAATATGATGGGAATTCTGAAGAGTAATTTAAACTATATTAAGTCAATACCATCAGCTCTTCCATTGGATCTGAGGACATTGTCAGTCTCTCTCCACAGTATGAAGTTGAAATATTTAATGAATTTCAGATTAAAAAGATATTCAAATTTGCTTTATATGACTTCATTTTTCATTCAAGGAACACTAAAAGTCCTTCATTTCTTATTAGCTTTTACATAATATTTCTTGCTAGATAGTAATACTGGAGAATTTCATTATGATGAACTGTTGTAGCTTGAGTAATACAGTCACTATATAACTATAATACAGTCACTAAAATAACTCAGTTACTGAATTATTTTAAATAAACAGGGTTGAGGAAAAAAGTTTTCAAAGACCTGTGTTTCAATGCAGTCACCTGTCTTTCCTGGTCTGCAACCAGTTCTATGTAAAGTTTTCCAGTGTCTCCATAAAACAGGTTCTAAATCTTAAAAGGTTGTAACCATAGTCCCAGTTCTTCCTGAAGACCTGGTAAGGCAACATAACCCTATAATTTTTTGTAGGCAAGGTAATATGTTGTATAAAAAAGAGTTCTAGAGTTTTTGCTAAAGGAGGCCTGAGGAAATGACTGATATGGTAGCAAGTCTCCCTCCTTCTTCTGAGCAACGTACCAGGATCGTCACACAATTGGTCCCCTAGACAGAGGTTCAGGTGGCACAAAAGCCCAAGTACAAGCATGGTATATAGAAATAATATTTTTTTATCAGTTTAGCATTTAGCAACTTTGATGTTAATGAGACTCTTTTTTTTTTTTTTTACTAACTTGATTTTATGAAATACAGGCTTAAAGTAGCCAGTTTGGATGTCCTGAAATACCATACAATTTAGGATTTTTCTCTGTTCATTGCTAGTGATTGATAACTAATGGTTGAGATGCTCATAAATAAGGTTGTTTTTTTTAGGATGCTGCAACTGCATGCCAGGAGTCTTGGTACTTTATTATCAATTGTTTTATGTACATGGCTGTCCTGTGCAGAATAGGCTGTTATTGATGCTCTTTTATTTGCTCTTTGTCTCCATTAGTTTTCAGTGTTTCTCAGTATAAAGGATCATGCACAGCTGATTGTGTAAATCCTGGTTGACCACCACACTTAGTATCTATTAATCTGTCTGGGATATTCCAGTTTTATTTTTTTCCTTACCCTTTCATACATACCATGCCAAAACCAGACAAAACAAATTCAGTTATTCAGATGGATAGAAGAATATGAAATAGTTAGTGGTTCCATTTGGTTTTAGAGAGGAAACAATAAACCTAAACTTCACATCTCTTCTAGAGTACAGCAGTGACTCTTCAGGTACAAATGTTTCAAGAATTTCTATATGCTTTCAAACATCTTTACATAGGAGAAAAAAATAGGGAACTCTTAACTTCTTCTTTTTTTACTGTTAGGCTCCTGCCAAAATAATAAGCAGCTAGCAAATATATCAGCTGCATATTAGACTGCAACATTGACCTCACCTGTGCTACTTTACAACTTGCAGTCAATTTAGCACTTAACTCCAGTGCTGTACATCTGGTAGTTAATGATACAGCATCTGTTGCAATACTTCTGATTCATTTGGTATGGCTGCAATTGTACTACTGGGAAGATGAGTGTTAATTATTCTGTGGAAGTATTCTACCTCAATCTGCCTCCTCTGGGCTTCTAGGAAAACTTGTTTTGGCAATGCTGCTCACTAGGCAGCTGGTAAAGATGTGCCAACAAACTTTGTTTTAAAATCTAATTGTGTATGTTAAGACAGGCACTGTAATAACTCTCCTCAGAGATCAAATGCTTTGTGGATTATCAGGTACATTCATTATCCAAATTCCATATCAACCTAACTTCTGGTAAGCTCCCATGTTTCTCTCAGTGTGCAAATGAAGACAAGGAAGCCCGAAACATTTTCTCAGTCATGTAAACCAATATCAAAGCTATACTGGAAAAAAAATAGTGTAATACAGTGCCAGTGGGACTGATTACAGGCATGGTCCTGAGCCAGGCTGTAGGTGAGCAGGGCAGGAGGTGTCACAGCTGGGCACAGCAGCCCTTACAACCCTGGAGTACAGGATCAGCCACATGGCACTCTCCCTGGGGGAAGACATCATTTAAAATCTCATTTTATCAGCGCTGATCTGGGATGTGCTTTCTAGGGGGTGGCTTAGGCTAGAGGACCACGTTTTCATCTAGAAATCATGCAAAGGGATTTAGTGTACACACTTTAATGTTGCCTGTGTCCAGGGAAAAGCAATGAAGCTGGTGAAAGGTCTAGACTACAAGTCTTGTGGGGAGTTTTTGAGGGAGCTGGGGGTATTTATCCTGGAGAAAAGGAGGTTCAGGGGAAACTTTACCATTCTCTACAACTGTCTGAGAGGAGGTTGTATCCAGGTAGGAGTCGGGCTCTTTCAGGTAGGAAGTGACAGGACGAGAAGACAGCCCGAAACTGGGCCGGGGAAACTTAGATTGGACATCAGGAAGAATTACTTCGTAGAAAGGGTCATTAGACATTGGAATGGGCTGTCCAGACAGGTGGTGCAGCCACCGTCCCTGGAGGTCTTTAAGACTGGCTGTGGCTCTTAGTGGTATAGTCTAGTCGATGAGGTGGTGTTTGATCATAGATTGAACTCGATGATCTCGGAGGTCTTTTCAACCTATTTACTTCTGTGGCCCTGTTAAAAAGTTCTCTAATGCGTTTTCACCGGTGTTAAGAGATTCAACGCGCGTCCGTTTGTTACACGTAGCCGCACGCATTACCCTCCACAGGCACAGCGACAGAGCAGGGGCCGCCCCCGAGCCGCCGGCCGGGCCCAGCGCGGCGCGACGCGGCCCCGCTCCCGGGCCGGGCCAGGCGCAGGCGCGGCGGGCGGGGCGGGTGAGTCAGCGGCGGCCCCGCGGTGCCCCCGCACATCCGGGTGCCCCGGCACCGCCCACCGCCGGCCTCCGGCCACCGCCGCCGCCCGGGGCCAGCGGGGCTCCGCCGCAGCCGCGCCGGGCCCCGCCGATGCGAATCGCCGCCCGCCCGCCGGCCGCTGCCGAGCGGCCGCCGCCATGATGCCGGCCCTGGCCGCGCAGCGGCGGGGCTGCCGCGGCCTCTACCGCCTGTACCTGCGGTGCCAGGCGGCGCCGCGGCCCCGCGCCTGCCACGGTGAGTCCTGCGGGGCCGGGCCGCTGCACCGCGCCGGCCGGGGCTCGCAGGGAGCTGTGACGGAGCTCCGCGTTCGCCTGGGGCACAGCGAGTGCCGGCGCTCGCAGGCGGTGCTGGCAGCCGGGTTCCCCCCCTCCCGAGGCGGTAGCGCCGCTCCCGGCTGCGAGCACCGCGGGCGGGGAGCGCCGGCTGCTCTCTGAGGGCGGCTGTGGAAGGAAGGAAAGCGTGCCAGTGTTTGCCAGCGGTGCGGGGCCGCGCTGTCCTCGGCCGGGCTGTACCGGCCCCGTCTGACGTAGGGCGGGCGCGTCATGCCCGCGTCGGGCCGGAGTTTGCAGTAATTGCATAAAATACAGCACGGTCTTTCAGGATGTGAGCGAGCCCTGGCTTTTCCTTTAGGCCACAGAGCTGACTCCTGGAATTTCACTTCTGAGCAGTTTTGCCCCTTTTCGTGTAGTCACGGTTAAATTGCAGCAAATGCTTTTTCTTTTCAGTTTCTTGTGTGCGCATGAATTACTAGGAAAAATGCCCTCTAAATGTGTTGATTATGTTTCCCTTTTTTAACTGCTCCAGTATGACCAAAGCTTAGGAGAGAACTCTGCTCATCTTGTGCCACGTATTATTGTAAGGTTTTATAAATTCGTAATCAGTAAGTTCAGTGAACTGCGTTGAGTTCAGTATTAAGGGCTTTTGTCACATTGCGACAACTGTCAGTAAGAGCTGTCCTTTTTTGGGGAAATTTTTCCTTCAGTAGGGTTCAGGTCAGTGCATGTAGACATGCGGGTGTGCAGATGACTGAAAAAGCAAGGAAAGCTGTTCAGACTTTTACAGAATGGACAGTTCTGTAAAATATATATTTTTTTGTGAGAGCTGTGTTATTCATGGTTAAGTGGTCATGCTTTATATGACTTTATTTACTAGCACCTCTTAATTATTTTTAAAAATGTATTTATTTTTTAGTGAGTGCTTTTCAAAGCAGTTTCCCTGCTGCATTTCTGGTTGGAGGTGTTATTTACACTCCCTACAGAAGTATTGTGCTCCCCAAAGAAACCGATTGCTAATACAGGTTGGTCTGTACTGCAGCTCTGCTTCTGGCTAATCTTTTGAAATGGAAGATTGCCTACCTAGGGTGGTTTCTCAATGGACTTTTTGCATATTTATCTTGTAATTTGTCTGTTGTGAATGCTGCAAAATTTAAGACACTTCACTGTAAAATGTTTTGTAAAGTGTTGTGTGCTTTTCTATGTGATTTCTGTGGCAACTGTATAATTTGCAGTTATTTGCAGAATACACAGTTCAGTTTTTCTTCATTAATAAGTAATGATTTGTACAGAGTGAAATGAAATGGCAATACTGGCTAATGGTTTTGTAGTGATCTGTATTTTTTATGTTATCAATATATGTTTTTTAAAGACTTTGAGGCAGTATGACTAGAATGAGACAATGTATCAGAAAGCCAATCTTGTAAAATTTATTTTTTTTAACACTTCAGATCATTCAGAGGTCTCTGGGAAAAATGCATGCTGGAGTGTGGGAAAAACCCTCTAGTGTCAGAATGAAATTTAGAAGTGGATGATTGAACTGAGGTTGTGAAAGCGTGCTATGTACTCTCATGTTGTAGTTCACAAACATGGGTAAAATAAGTCTGGGTCAGTACTTACAAGCTAACGTTCCATAACTTATGCTGCCAGAGCAGGACTGCTTTCCCTTCTTTTTCTTTCCAAAATGGCTGCCTGAAACAGCTTTTTTTCTTCTCTGTGTTAGGATGGAAAGTGTCAATGAAAAGTGGGAGCCTGTCTTATATTCTACCATGTAATCGCCTGCCTGTGCAGTTGATGAGTCAAGTGAGAGTTTATACTTCAAATGGTCAGAAGAAAGATCTTGGATCAGAAGATACAAATGGATCAGCCCGTGGAGAAACCCTGCATAAAGTTGAAACAGGTAGTACAAAGCTACAATAATAAAAATGTAAAAGTTTAATATATTTTCTGATAACAGGTGTTTTAAATTGTATGATATTATGATTGCAGAATTCTTAGTATTTTTGGTTGTGGGCATCTATATAGTAAATTCAAATGGATAAGCAGGGAGGGATGCTGAAATTTCTTTGTCTATCTGATATTTTAAGTGTTTTAAGTTTAGAGTAATCAAATTTAAAGTGGTGATAGAAAAAATGTGTATACTGAAAGGGTTTAAGTAATTTAAGGGGTAAGAAATGGAACGTATTACTCATCTTTCACAACTTTGCTTGTTTATTTGAATTTTTTTGGTAGTATTTCTGGTGTATTGTGTCAAAGGAATTAATGATAAAGATTGAATGAGCGCCACTGTTGACCATTGTGGCATCTCAAGGCCAGGCTATAAATGACTGGTAAAGAAGGCTGAGCTGTTTCATCTGCTGTAGCTTTATAATCTGACAGTTGTTAGAACTGCAGCTTCACATTAAACATTTGATACAGTGTGCATAACCTGACCCTCCCTGCTGTTCGATTGCTGATCTTGTGCTTGTTAGGTGCTTGTGAAATTCAGAACTGTCTTGTCCTTGCTTCATTGTAACATCCTCTATTTGTGATGCTTATTAACTGTGGGCACTGCACAGATACAGGCTCGGAAGACTGTGCTTAGGAGATAACAGATGCTTTTCAAAATGAAAGCTCTCTTTCTTTGTGCTTCTGTCTACAATGGAGTGGTCTGCTAAAGAAAATTTCCTTTTCCTTGTCAGGATAGCAGATATTTGTTCCTTCTTTAGTAACTTGTAAATTCCTGGGGCTGGCAACAGTCTTTAAAAGCTAGTAACTGTAGCCAGCTAAGAGGATTACATTCTGGTGTTTGGAAGTACAAAAGTGGCTCTTAAGCATTGTTCACTCTTGAAAGTTCTACCATATCAACCTCTACTTGTCTGAAAAACAAGTGATTGTGAATGGAGGTATTCTGTATCCTTTTTCCTCAATGATGCACTGTGATTTTTTTCTGACTCTAAGCTGAGGTAGTAAACTTTGGAAGGGTGCTTGATGCACATAGAAAAATACTAAGACTATATCCATGCACAGTGCATTCCCAGGTGAGAAAAGAAAGGAACAACAAAGGGATTTTGTTTCTTTTGTTTTCAAGTGAAAGGGGTGAATGTTTGAGGAATGCTAGTTAGTTATGGTGCAACCTTATTTGCTAGATAATAAGATCAACTTCATAAATTTATAAGTGCTATTTTTCCAAAAAAGTATCCTTGAATTGTTATTAGCTGTAGTTCTCAATTGCTTTTAGGGTATTAACTAATTGCCTGATTGAAACATAGTTATGTAGTGCAAGCTTCAAGAGAATCTGATCTTGAAATAATTTAAGTACCATGTTAGGCTAGAAGTACTTCATTACTTAACACTAACCTGCTAAAAAAATACTCATTTTTAAAAATATATCACTCTGAATAAGGTGAATGGTTATGAATGTGTGGCAAACCTCCAATGTTATAGAGTGGTAGGGCACATAAGAGTAGGTATGTTGATTTGGCATGTTAGAACCATAAGGCTTTTGTTCTGAAAGCTGTATTGAGATGTATGGGACAAGGATGCAATATTTGTTTGGATTTTCAAGTAGTACTTCTGGTTTCTAAGTAAATCTCACTAAAATTACTGGAATTTGTTGTTTTCCAAATATTAAAATTCATTTTACTATTGTAAGTTATATTTTGTTGGGTTTTTTTAATAGATTCATATTCTCAGGCTTCAAAACCAGACAAAAGACTTTGTTTTTGTTCCAGCTCCAGCTTATTACATATGAGTTGTGGATTTTACTTTAAATATTCTGTATTTTAATGTGCTAACTTTTTGTAAATGAAGAAGCTTCCATCTCTTAAAATTGAATCCCATTTTGGAAGCTCTGAAACACGCTGATACATAGCATATATGGCATAAGCCATATAGAATTAATTATATTTAATAACCTAAAGTTTTGCATAAAACTTGTCCCCAACCACAAGTGCACTGTTAAAACATTTTTTTAAAAACTTGGGGTGCTTTTTGAAATATGTTACGAATTAGTGTTCTTTTACAAGCTGCTAGAAGTTTCTTGATCAATGCTATATTAAATATTTACTTTTTTTGTTTGTTTTGTTTCTGTCTTTTGAGAGTTTGAAATCTTGGAAATCTGGCAAATACGTTTTCTAGTTGTCAGGGTGCAGTGCAATATTAAGATATGTTCTAATGTTATTTCAGTCAAATTCTTAACTAAAAAGAAAAGTAGGTACTTCCATATTTACAGTGAGCTTTAATTTTATTTTACAGGACAAGATGCAAACAACGCAGGCCAAAAGCAGTCTTCACCTAAACAGCCAGTCCAAGTAAAAGGTAAAGAAATATGTAGTGTATTGGAATTTTACTGCTGTTTGCTAGTAGTCCAAAACAGAAAAAAAAGTGTAAGGAAACTGCTGCTCCTCTTCAGTAGTAGTGTAAACAATTTATGTCAATAGCATTTTAAAACACACTTGGGTGCCAGCTTTGTTTGGTACTGTTCATTTGAAAATGACTCATAAAAAAATCAAACATAGCAGAATTCCTTCTAATTACTCACTCTTCTGTGTTTGTAATTTTCATTCTAGCTGCAGAGTTCAGCAGGAAAAAACGGATTTTTTTTTTCATGTGTTGTTGCAGTCTGTCCTCCTTGTGTGTTTTTAGTCATGTCCATTACCCCTCTCAGACTTAATGTGGCTAAGCTGAATAGTTGATCTTCCCCATTCCTTGTTCTAAGTCTTCCTCTGTTCTTTCTTATTACTGAGTTGCTTCTAAATATATTTTTGAGCACATGAACTGCCTAATCTGGGTTCTGTAAAATTCCCATTTGTGTGTAGTAATGTGGTGGGCTTGGCACTGGCTGGACACCAGGTGCCCACGCAAGCCAGTGTATCACTCCTTAGTTGGATAGGGTAGAGAAAATGTAATGAAAGGCTTCTGAATTAAGGACAGGGAGAGATCACTCACCAGTTATACTGTCATGGGCAAAACAGATTGGACTTGGGGAAAATCAGTTATTTTATTGCCAGTCAAATCAGACTAAAGTACTGAGAAATAAAAACTGAATCTTAAAATACCTTCCTCTAACCCTTCACTTCTTCCCAGGATTAATCTTCTGCTTTTCTCTACCTTCTCATCCCCAGTGGTTCAGAGGGATGTCAGTTTCTTTAGATTTATTGTCTCTTAGTGTATGCATGCAGGGAAAAAATGCAAGGTAGATAGGAGAAATTTCTGTGAAATAATTGTGAAGATAGATATATATTTCAGTAAGAGCTTTCCTTCTCTTAATTAAAGATGTGCAAAGAGAAATGTATATGTTAAGGATTTTGTTAGTGTCTAGAAAGTGGAATTCTACTCAAAATGCTTCTTTGATTTAGAAACTTACCTATCCAAGTATTACTAAGTGTTAGAAAGACAGTAACATTTTTAAAGGCACACTAATCTTAGACCTGATTTTCAAAGTGTTTTATTTACATCATCTTTTGTTGAGCTTGTCTTTATTTTGGATGCACTGAATAGGGTTTTTTCTCCGCATTTACTACAGTTTTGTAAAGTTATTTGAACTAGGGGTAGGATTGTTGGGATACTGTGCAATATACAATTACAGTACAATATCTACAATGTAAAATATATGATTTATTTTAGTGAAATTTACCGGTATTTCTGAAAGGTGAATTAGTAAGGTTTTGATAAATCCATAGGTTGCTTTTTAGTAAGGTTAATATTATTTGGGTATATATTTGTTTTAAATACAAGATGGGAATTGTTCTTGATTAAAAATTATCAGTCTGTTCTAACCTTAGTAAATGGTGTACTGTTTTTAGGAAATCTCTAAAGTTTTTTTCATCACCTTCACTTAGGAGCTTTGTGGGATGAATGTGATTATTCAGGGACTTAAAAAATTCTTCAAGTTCAAAGTGGATGAGAGAAATCAGATTATTATGATAAAAATTGATACCTGTGCTCTTGGTGTGTCATGGAGAGTCAAACAATATATTTTGCTATTAAGCATCAAAACACAGAAATGAGACAATGTAGAACTCTGGGTAAATTTTTCTCTAAGTCTTTAAAATCATTATCTTTCTGTGACCTAAGGAGTACCTCTGGACCAGCTATAGAAATCATATCAATCCTGTGATTTGCAAGAAGCTCATGTGTGCTCTAAAGTCTTCTCACCAGTAGAATCTGAGCTTTTTGTTTTAAGTTGTATTCTGTAATGTTAGTTACATTACAGTGTTAGTTGTGTTATTCTTCTGAATGTAACTAGTCTTCCAATAAACATGTTTTTAATGCATGTTAATGTACAGTTATATCCATTTGAGAATAATATGAAGTTATGTACATACAGACAAGTAGAAAATAATAGCATAAATTGAAAACTCCATTTATAATTTTTCTGAATATGTGTGGTATTCTTTTCCTTGTGCATGAGAACCTGATGTGATGAGTACGACTTCCAGACATAAAAATATTATAAAGAATGTATGATTTTAATTGTTATGAATGCCCAATGTTAAGAGTACTAACTTTGAACATAATAGTTGAGCAAAATGATGTATACAGTCTGTCTCATTTCTCTGTATGCTCTGCGAAGGTGAAAAGTCTTATCTGCAGAAAGTGGACTTGATTATTGGAAAAAATAGAAATGGAGCAGCCTGTTGCTACTTCAGTTGTTAGACCAAGGGTTTCCAAATGGCCATATTTGAATGCTATTTATGTAGCCAAGCACCATCTCTGACATCAAGGTGGAAAAGCAGCTGACAGTGGCAGTTAGGTTTGAGAACCCTGAACTACAGCTTAGAAAGTAGCATTAAAAAGGTAAATCATTCTACCTTACTCATTTCCATAATGAGGAAGATGCCTTTCTCTTCACTATCAATTTTCTGTATCGCTGATACTGTTTTTCAGATTTCCACCAACAGATATCACAGTATGACACTAGATTGAATTAGTTGTTGAAGTTTCTGCTGTAGTCTATGAGTAACTTGCGTATTTTTTTTTTTTTAAGTGAAAGCAGTCCTTAAAAAAAGAGAGTATGGACCAAAATACACACAGAATAACTTCATCACTGGAGTCAGAGCAATAAATGAGTTTTGTCTTAAATCCAGGTATGATGGGTTTTAGTTGAGATTCAAATTCTGAATATTTGTTCATTTGTGCATGAGAAGTAATTGTGATTGTAGAGTGATTTTCTGCAGCAACTTTTCTAAATGTTTTTGTGGTGTACATAATTGTAAATTAGTTCTTGCTTAGTTTTACAGTGCACTGGGAGCTTGCACTTAATATTCGTGTTTCAGTACTTGCTTCTTAAAGTAGTTTATTTGTACTTATGACACCATGAATCTAGTTTGGGGGAGACATCTCTGTTCGTCCTGTTTTTATATAATGGTGTAGATGCCCTAATGTGTAGCTCAGCACAGGAAAATGTATCTGTTTCCCCAAGTAACTTTGTTATCTTCAACCTTTTGCGGTTTGTGCTGGGAGTATAAATTTTGGGATTAAATTTTCTTGTCACATGACTTCTCATTTCCATTTAGAGAGGCTAATTCATAAAGCCTCTTGTTTAGCATATGTGCATGTTATCAGTTGCACACAGAGTATTCATTGAATGTTTTCTTATTTAGTGTTTTAATACTTTGGCTTCAGTGTGTAATATTTCATAGTATGAAGACATGATTTGGACTTCTGGATGTGAAAAACAGTAGTTTTCAACAGCCTGCTAGAGATCACTTGCTTCATGTTGCCTGTCTGTTCTATTTGAAGTAGACAACTTCACCTTTTTTGTACAACAAATTAGTAATATCAAAATGGTGGATCATCACCCAGACATAAAAGTCAAATTAGAGCAATATGATCCTTTTCTTACACTAAACTCTTTGTCCACTTTCCTTAGTGATTTAGACCAGCTGAGAAAAATTAAACGACGAAGTCCCCATGATGACACTGAGACTTTCACGGTGTACCTGAGATCGGATGTAGAGGCAAAGTAAGAACATTTGAAAAGGATGATATAAGAGAGAAAAGAGTTTTAAAAGTCAGGTTTGCAATGTGAAAGGGCAGTAATGTTTTCTGTTTTCTATCTGAACACATTTTCTATCCTGATTATTATAATTACATTGTACATAAAAAATTCAACAGTATGGTTTTATGCTTGAAAAAAAAGTTGCATGAATAGAAACATTATTAAGTTACTTTTATTTAATGCAGGTCTCTTGAAGTTTGGGGTAGTCCAGAGGCTCTTGCCAGAGAAAGAAAGCGACGTAAAGAGGCAGAGATCAAGTACAGAGAAAGTGAGTATAGGGTTTTCAAATACCTAGAAATGTCTCAAGGAAGTAGATTGTTAGAAATCCACAAGACAGTGTTACTTTGTTGAAAACTTGTAAATTTGTAAGTAGGAATTGCTGACTAGGTCTTGTGGCATAATCTTAGAATAAAATGTTACTATCTATGCAGATACAGTCTGTTACTATCTTGCAATTTATCACCTTTGTGATAAAGGAAGAGCATACATTCAGTGGAGATCTCTAGACGTACTTGTGGGAGGAGCTTTCAATTTTTAGATGATAATTTACATTTTCAATGCTTTTGCATTTTATCCAATTGAGAATTTTGAAGAGTTAAAACTGATCTAAATCTTTGTACCACTACTCATTAATTTATTCCTCTGAAAAGAATTCAGCTTGCCTTTGTGTTTCAGAAATTATATTTTTTTGGTGTAATATTATTTTTGTTATCCTTGCAGGTATTATCAATAACATGTACAGCCAAATCAGTACTTTGTAATGTATTTGGATCTGTTAGTTAAAACGCAAGAGGCAATACTGCTTCAAGATACTTAGTTCAGTTGTGTACCTTAAAATGAGAGGTCAATTTTTTTTTGAACAGTTATGCCACTAGAACACCCTTCTGTCAAAAAAGTTTAGAACTGCAGACACCTGCTAAAGGTATCTGTAAGTGTACTGAAAGTGCAGTCAGGAGCCTCAAAATTTTTATTGGCCTGAGGAACAGTTTTTGGATATAAGCATAATGACTGAATTTGCAGAAGTAGATTTTGAGCTTTTCCCTCTGTGCCTTATCATTTTTTGGTAGAAATGGTAACAATGTATAGGATCATAACAGATTGTATTTGGTATTTTGCATGAGTGTATAACAATATGTGTTTGTGATTAACAACATCATGGGAGGAGTTTTTACAGGTAGATCATCTAGCTCTTATTAGAATTTGGCTGCAGCATAAAAAAAATACACTTCAATTCCTGAAACTACTGGTTACTAGTATTCATGATGTGAATTTTGTACTGCAGATCTGTTTAGAAACCAAAGGCTATTGTGGGAATACAAGGAGTTCTTTGGAAATACTAAGGTAACGACATTTTTGAGTGTTTGGCTAGAAAAGTGTAGTGAAATGTGTTATGACACCTTTTGAAGGAAAGTTTATGTAACTGAATATTTCTGGAAGATTTTTTTTGCACTGTAATGTACCAGATCTATATCTGATTGTTATGCAGTAGTCAATGTTGTGATGACAGCTTGAATGGAGTCCTACTGTGATAAGTGTAATCCACCAGTAAGAGGGTTTTTTTTTTCAGTTGCCTTCTTATCAAAATTGCAGCTGTACTCATGATTTCAAGCATAACCATTACTATGTGTAGTGAATATATTGTTAATTAAAAAACCTAAGTAAGTTTCTTTAAGAAAAAAGACCCCAGAAGATGAATGCTTTAGTCTGTACACTGCTGGCTCTTCCTTTTTACTTAAGTAGATACACACCCTAGATCTAGGTGCTTGGGTGTATATTGGGTGTATAAAATGATTCCTTAGTGGGCTCTGGGCCTTATGGCTGCAGTGGCCTCTGCTGGAGACTTCATCTTTTTAATAGCCAACCATTTACCCAACTGCAGTTTGGATTAACATTCTGTAGTAAATTAGTTACCTTTAAGAACATTTGCAATACTTGGCAGTGCGAAGTTTTTTATTGAATTTATATGGTAGGTGTCTCATGAGATCAAGATTTAGTTATTAAATAATCTGTTATTTTTTTATGTAGCCACGCTCCAGTACAGCAGCTATGTTTTTCAAGGGACCAGGGAAGGTGGTAATGGTAGCTATTTGCATGTAAGTAAAAAAAAAAAAAACAAAAAACAAAAAAACTTTGTGTAATAAAAATAATTTATTTATATTTTCCTGGGAATAGGAAGAGTGTGTGTATTAAAGATACCTGGGTCTGTAACTAAAATTAATAGGTTTATTTGTTTATTGCTGATAGGAGAGAGTTTAGATGAATACATTGATCAATACATAGAGGTCAAGTATTGAATGTATCTTTGATGAGAGAAGAGCAGTGTTTTTGGAGTTGATCACACTATACAGTTTCTTAAAGTAAGAACTAAAATTTTGAAGGACCTGAAGAAGCAGGTATTTAAAGTTGTCCTTTTTTCTTGCTCCTTCTTGAGAGGAAGCTTTTAATACATTTGAAAGAATATTCAATATAACCAACAGAAAATAACTCAATTTTCTCTTTGTACTGTTATTTCTTTTCTAATTGCAATCTGCCTTTCCAGAAGCTGCTGGGTTTGCTTCCTCTAACTTGAATAGAATTTCTGGCACATGTTAAAATCTGACACTAGAAGATGTTAATAGTTTCTTATAACACTTAATTTATTTAGATACTTAAAAAATTGGCAATAAATGAAACTCATGTTGAAAAAGAGGAGAATTTTATAATTCTCCAGTCCAATTTTCTGTGCAATATGTTTGTAGCAATTAACCCACTGATTCTGAAAATGTTTGAAGTGAGAACGTAGACTTGGACTTGGGTGTTAATAATTACCAATGTGCAACATAAGATAGTGTTTACTCCAGGAAACCTGTAACTGTAAAAATGTCTTTACAATTCACACTGAACATCTTACTGGAGAAGTTCTATAGGTAATTTTTACAATGTAATCTAGTGACAGCCTTGTATACCTGTCTGTTTCACATTTGTATCCTGCTGAGAGTAGCTCAGACTGAGGGTGAAGTAGGGAACCTTGCACTACAGTATTGGCAGAGAATATGTAGGATTTTCAAAGGATTGAAAAAATAGAAAAGGAAGTTGTAAAGACTTGTATTCTCCCACTGGTAGAAAATTAGTTGTTCTGAGTAGTGAGTGTGATTGTAGTTTTCAGGAAGTGTAACTTTTTTGGAACTGCTTAGAAGTCAATGATTTCTGAAAAATAAATTGTGTATCTTTATCAAGTCTAGCTGAAAGGACTTTTTTCATAATGACCATGCAGAAAATCTCTATGAATTATCTGTCTGCAGAGCTCTCTAATTATTAAACTGCTATTTGAGTTGACCCCTTTCTGGCAGATAATGCATGATTGTGCAGCACTTCTGTCTTTGCTGAGAATATTAAATATAAAATATTATATTATTTCTTCTCTTTGTTTTCAGAAATGGGTTGAACTTTTTTTTTAAGCTACTTGCTTGGGTTTACACGGGTTCTGCAAGTATGTTTTCAGAAGCCATACATTCTTTAGCAGACACATGTAACCAGGTGGGTATTTTTTTCCATTCTGCTAAAGTTAGTACTTGTAATAAAACTGGGAATAAAGACAGATACTTAAAGTGGTTGTAGTGTGCATGAATGAATAAAAGGGAATGCTTCTTAATTAGTGTTAGCGTAAAAATGAGAAGTCAGAATATAGATTTTGAAGTTTTTTTGGAAAACATTGAAAGAGGGGAGTTGCAGTAAGAACTGTACCCAGCTGCTTCATGGATCATGAGTGGTACTTGAAGCTGAAATTATTTTGGTTAGTATTTTGGTTAAATGTTAACTTGAAATGCTTTTCCTGTCAATTATTGTAATACAGTGACAGACTTTGTTATTTATTCATCTCTAGGTAGAATAATGATGAGAATTTGGGCATCTTGTTTTCTTTTTCTGTTCCTAGATTACCTATCAGCCTGTCACAGCACAAGTGGCCACATATGTGGCACATTTACTTTGAGAAGTGGAGTGGCAGGCTCAGAATTTGACATATAATATTAATGTGCAGAGATAAAATTAATGTTTTTTTCTACTGTATACTATACTATAATATACTTTTCTATAGTATGCTTGAAACATATGTTATGAGACCTTGAAATGATATTGCAAGGCTTTGAGGGGGATGAAAATCAATCCTTAAAGAAAGGGTTGAAGGAAAGACTCCTGCAGCTCAAGCAAGAGGAGTCCTTGGGTAGCTCATAAAATGGAACAGTCTTGTGCTCCTCCAAATTTGAGGAACCTATGGAACCTTAGAGCAGACTGAATATCTTGAAAAGGCTATTAACATAGTTTTGGCAAACGTTTTGAGTTGGATCTTGTATGCTTCTCTGTCCAGAAAGACTTGAGTTGACAACTCACATTTTGTTTGATGGTTTCACACAACCTTTTAGGTGATCCAGATGTAAAGTGAAGACAAGGGTGGTCCTAATTCAACTGATACAACTTAAGTTTATGGGGAAGCCAGCCTTAAAGTGTGTGTTTTTTCACCAAGTGTGTCAATGTATAGGTGAACCAAGTTTGATAGTGGTCTTATATACCTTGAAGAGCTATTCTGTTTTGTAAATATCAAAGTTGAACATTCCACTGAAATGAGGAGAGTTTTGTTTTGTTTTTCCAAATAATTGACTGTGGTTTGGGGAAAAACACAGGAGTAACCTTGCTTCCTCAAAGCAGCTTGCTGCTACCAAGACTAAAGTATCTGCATTTTAGTACTTGTTATTATGTTTCAGTATCTGTAATCTTAAACAAAACATGCTTTGCAAAGTTCATGACTAGATTTATAACTTCCTGCATCAACAACTTAATACATGCCTAATTAAATATATCCCAGGTAGGCAACTTAGATAGCAAGAGGTTATTTCTTCCTTCAAAATATGCTGACAAGTTGCAGTGTAAAGTTACTGCTGTAAATGTTGTCATCACCCTACTACACCACAGTCTCAGTATAGTTTCTCTTCAAGAGGGATGTATTTAAATAGCTTTGTTCCCTGAGCAACTTCATTCCTTCACACTGAAGCACAGCAACAACACTTGTGATTGCATGTAATGTTCATTTTCAGTTGTGATTCAAAAATTATAATTAACAGTAATTACATATACACTCCATATAATTGCAAATACACTATATATGTAGGTATAACTAACAATTTTTTGGGAGTGGTAAATTTAGAAGACAAATTTTGAGGATTATATTTCAACTCTTACAAAATATCAGTAGCAATGCATATATGCAGTTCAACAAATTACATATTACATCTGCCTTTAACCTTTCAAGTTCACTGTTACAGAATGTTTCTAAATATTTTTTTTAACCTCTTGTCTTAAATAGGCATTGTTAGCTTTGGGCATCAGTCAGTCTGCAAGGACGCCTGACCCTAGTCATCCGTAAGCTTTTTGAGTAAATAAAGATTCTGGTAACTATATATAGCAGTAAGATTAGTTCTTGTTTGTGCATCACCTTGTTCTTTTTAATTTGCTGTTTTGTGTAATTTCTGAAACATATTGTTTCAGATAAAATAAGAAAAGGGTTTTCTTTTAAGCTCCAGGAATTGGGGCTTCAGTGGCTTGGTGCATGTGTTGTTTGTTGGTGTTTTTTTTTTTTTTTTTTTTTTTTTTTTGTGGTACACCTTTGTTATGTTTTATTTGAATTGTCGTTATTTCTGTAAGTTGTTCTAGGCTCTTCTGCCTCTTCCAGCTAATAGATCTATTTTTTAAACACCTTTCATGTGAATCACAGGAATTTTTAAAAAATAAAAAGTACTATCCTCTTCCTTTTTTCAACAAAGTGCTTTTATGCAAGCTAGTTACTTGTAGCATAAGGAGTTGTGTTTGACATAAATTGCTCTTTGTTTGTATCTAGTAATAGGGATATTGCTTAATAAGTTCTTACAGTGTCGTGAAAGTTATAAGCTGTACTCTCCATGATATTTTCTTGGTGTTGGCCTGTTTTGAACCCATATGTTTGGACAAGTCATTCATTCTTTAAGTACTAGTTCAAAAATGTGTCTAATTTATGGGATTAGTTATTTTCTTTCATTAACAACATCATTAAAATTTAAAAAATGTAAATATTAAATTATGCAAATATTCATTATATCTCGTTTTTCCCTCTCACTCTTTTCCCTTTGTCCTCGGTATAGACAAAAGAAGTGCACTGTTTGTTGATGGTGTTAAAACCAAAAAAAGGAATAAACACAAACTTTTAATATTGTTTTGATTCATCCACTGCACTTAAAAACTGCAAGTGTTGGATGTCTGTAGTTAGCTGAACTACTGAGAGATGTGTAAATTTTATTCCCATTAAATTAGCTTTATGAATTATGTAGACTGGCTTCCCACAAAACTAGAGTCGACATTTAGAAGTAGCATTTCACTAAAATCTTAAAGTGGTGTGAATGTTGTTTATTTTGGGATTTTTTTCAGTTGTGAAATAAAATCCTCAGTCATTGTACAAGAGCTAATACAAGATATTTAAAAACAAGTTAGAAAAACATTCATGCTTGATGTCCTTATGTGTATTAGATATCTTTTTTCAAATAGTTTTTTACCCTCATGGATTAGATTTGATTTAGCAGCTTTGACTTAAATAGATGACAAATCATATGACGATAATTTGAGACATGTAAAAGTTAATGGCAACTTTGAGATATGTTTGTAGAGACGTAGAATCTTATATTCCTAAAATAATTTTCTTTCTTTTAGGTATGGTTTCACAAATATGCGCTATATTGCCTCCCTGATTAGTGGAGTAGGCATTTTCATGATGGGTGCAGGACTTTCTTGGTATCATGGGATCATGGGTTTACTCCACCCTCATCCTGTAGAATCTCTTCTCTGGGTAAGCTAATTTTGTTTGATGTTGTATTTAACACCAGTAATTTAATAAAAAATAGTGACATAGTCTGAAACTCGCTTCCTGAGTCGGTTTGATTCCCAACACAATGACCTCAAACCACTCTTAATGAAAATGGGTTTTAAGGAAAAAAAATCTTTAAACTGTAGTTGATCCTGCAACACAATGAGCTGTTCTCTAAACCCTGCATCATCCTTTCATATTCCCCCCCCTCCAAGAGGTCCTCCTTTCCTGTTTTGGAATGTATTGCATGATCCAATTATTATTGGTTTCCTTCTCTTGAGGGACAATTACATGACACTCTGGGTAATGTGGTTCTGGAATGCTACATTTGGATAGCCTGTGTTGAATAGATCTGTAGAAATATCCATATAATATAATATCTGATCTGATTCTTGTTTTTTCCATACAGGCATACTGCATTTTAGCAGGATCATTGGTATCAGAAGGAGGTATGCAGTTTCAAGTTTCTATTTAAGTATTTGTAATCTCTTAAGATTACCATGTCAGTAATTATAGTAATAACTGATCTTTGCTAACACAGTGAAGTTTTGAGCTCTGTTGCAAATACTTGTAAACAAACAAAAAGAAACGTGAAAATATTTCTTTTTTATGTAAGTCTGTATAGTAAGAAGTTGAAGAACACAAAATTTGGAAAGTAGACATCGATTACCTTTTTGGTATTAAACTATCAATGAATATAACTGTTCTGATTTGTATGGGAGACACACTTATGGAAAAAAGTAACTATACTTTATTCAAAATACCAATAATCAGAGCTTTCTTGATTATCTGTTCCTATGATACTATAATGATAAGCTCCTCTTTTCAATATGGAAACAAGTCCTTTTGCCTCTAGCAATTTTCAGCAACAATTTTGTTGTTTCAGCCACCCTGCTTGTTGCTATAAATGAAATTCGGAGGAGTGCTCGAGCCAAGGGTCTTTCATTTTATCAGTATGGTATGTATCATTATAGCAGTAAGTATTTGGTGTTATTTAAAATACAATCTGTTTGCTAATATTTCCATAATGATAGAAACAATTTTCTGTTTTCCATTTTACTTTTCCCTTTATTGATCTATTTTCTATTCTACTAACAAATAACATTTTACAAATTAGGTGAGAACTGTTGATTTAAGAGCGCTAATTAAATACTTAGCTAAGTGTATGTATTGTTCTAGATAAATGCCCCTTTTAATTTTTCTAACATTTCTGAGGAGCTTCCATAATTTGGCTTGTTCTGTATATATATAAATGCTTTCGGAAGTGTGAGCATATGCAAAAATTCAGTTTGCACCTATATAATTGCATAAATTGTTCTTTTAAATTACTGTTGTTAGTATAGTTTAAGTACTATTCATAACATAGTAAAGCTAAATTTTCAGAGCAACGTAACTTTTTTTTGTTGTGTGTGCAGTTGTGCAGAGTCGTGATCCTAGTACCAATGTGGTGTTACTGGAGGATGCTGCAGCAGTTCTAAGCGTGGCTGTAGCTGCTACCTGTATGGGACTGACTTCTTTAACAGGTGAAATTCTGCACAGAGGCGAGCAGAATGTGGATTTTTTCCCATGCATGATGTGAACACAGAACATTTAGTTTATATTGGTTGACTTAAATATGTCTCTGCTCTTCATTTCTGATACTTACACTCTGTAAGCAGATTTTTGAGCTATTTTATCATACAAACTAAGTTATTTTTTTACCAAAGCTAAGATGATCTGTATGCCAAGTGTTTCAAAGTATGTCTTTGCTGCAAAATTAAGTTTTCTAAAGAGGGATGATTACTTATTAGTCTGTTTTTAAGTATTGATTTTTTAAAGACAATTAATGTTGGAATTTTGTTTCTTCTGGCTTCTAATGACTTAATTGCAATTTTTGCTTTTTATATAGAAGGAATTTTAAAGTTTCATTTCTAGTTTCCTTCATCAGCTTAAAAACACAGTACTATTTCTATAGGTCTGAACATGAATAAGTGTTTGAAACTTACAAAGTACTGTATTCCAGAAATGGTTAATGCTTGCAAATTTTTGAGTTACTGATAAAAGAAGACTGGATTTTGTGCTGGTACCTATGTTTCAGTGTATATAACTTTGTGTATAAGTGTATGTTTACTAATATAGAAACACATACAGACAAGAGTTTACTCATTTATTAGTCCTGCAGGAGACAGGAGTGCTTCAGGGTACAGGAGGGACTTAAGACTTTGTTTTATGATAAATAGTTTTGTTCCAGCTTCATCATGTTCCTCGGTAGGAAAAAATTTCCACTGACTTAAGAAAAAAAAAAAAGTAAAATAAAATGACCAACTAAAAAAAACACACCAACCAAAAAAATCTCACTAAACAGCAAAACCCAGAAAACCCGTCAAAACTGTTCTCTTTTCAGTGTGAAATTAGAATTCTCTGCTATGTTTTAGAAATACTCTGTGAAACTAATTTGATATATCTTGTTTAGGAAACCCATATTATGACAGTGTGGGGTCTCTAGGTGTTGGAACTTTGTTAGGAACTGTGTCAGCATTTCTAATCTACACTAACACTGAAGCCCTGCTGGGACGATCCATTGAACCTGAACAACTGCAGCGGCTTACTGAGTTACTGGAAAGTGATCCTGTGGTAAGGTAAGAACCTTTACAGCTCAGTAAACAACATTTACTGAGAGAAATCTGATAAGATTACTTTTAGTGTGGAATCTTCTGTATTGGGATTCTAGAGTCTTTATTATTTGCTAACTTCTATTTCTGTGCTAAAACTTTTAGTAAAAGAATACTTGTACCTCTTGTGTGTTAAACAGCTAAAGCAGCCTTGCTGATACATTCTAGCTGTCACATTAACTACAGGAATTTATAATGACCTAATGAGGAAGCCATAAAACTATTTTCAAATTCATGAAATGCAAGCACATAAATGATACTGTTATGTTGCTTGAATAGTTTATTAGCGCTTAAATATTTAAATTCTGTTGCTGTTAATAGTCAGTGTGTGGAATTCTGTAGCAGTTGGCAGGATGTGCTGCAGTAGTATTATGATGTAATGGATTCTTCATGTTACATGCTTATAAATTTACTCATTGCTAATTTCTCCTTAGCAAGTCTGCGATTTGTAGTAAGCTGATAGCTCATTGTAATTCTAAGTCTTGCTTAAATGCTTTTCAATGGGCTATTTTAGCTTTACCCTATTAACCTTGATTTAGAAGTAAACTTCTTTTTGTTTCCTTTTAGATCTTTATTTAGGAATATATTTCTGTGTAAATCAGCTGGAGTATTGTAGTGCTTTTTTTACTTGTAGTCATTTTTGAGCCGTGGAGGGAAAAACTCCAAGCCGATTAGTTTATATTACCAGAGTACTTGAAAGAAGCCAAGTGCTGGCACCATCACAGTTCCAAGCAAGAAGTCTGGATGACATGCCCCTCATTCCAGAAGCTGAACAAGAATCCTATTTGGAATAGAATTCTGTTAGAATTTTCACATGTCAGTTAATTAAGTATTTGTGGTGGCCCTGGATTAGGCTGAATGGTGAAGGATGTGTCAACAGTGCTGTGTTAGAGTAGGTGAGTTCACATGACTTCTGTAGTTCTTTTATCCAAAGTGCATAGGTGGCTTTTGCTTGTCTCAGGCTGAAATAATAAAATTTCTCCTAGGCCAAGTACCATTTTATATTGTATTCCATTTTGTAGGTGGCTCTGACTTCTCAAAAGAGCAGACTTAGTTCATGTTCTTCTTGCTGCAGTTTTTTTAAAACAAGAGGTACCATAATTTTTAAAAAGTGTGAATAATAAAAGAAATAAAGACTTGTGAGAAACTGCATATTTTTATTTTTTTGTGGTTAGAAGCTGAAACATGTTTAGGTGCTTGTCATACTCTCTGTATGCACTTTGTCTTCAGTTATCTCTTTTTGAAATACATTATGTTACCAGCTTTGGTTCCTTTCAGTGCCCAGTTGGTCTTTGACCAAGTTCTTACAACAAGCCTGCTATCTCTAGCTTGGGTAACATACATCTTCTAAGAGGACACCTGGTCTTAATCTCAGTTCTCTGCAACGTAAACTTATATTACCCTTGCTTGTTACTAGGTATAGGTAGGTATAATTTGGATAAAAAGCTGAAAAATAAACAAACCAAAGGATGAAATAAGGAAAAAAAAATAACAGCTGAAATGAGGAAGCCTTTAAACCTTAAGTATCTCTTCAAAGGGCTACCTGTATATTGACTTCAACATAAGCTTTGGACTTCTAGGAGTGTCAGCATTTTCTTGAACATTCAAACTCTCACATTTTCTTAAATGGAAATGTGTAGTAGCGTGTTGTACTCTTACATATCCTCTGAAACCAAATGTGAAAGAAAAAGCTCCTGATTGCTGGCCTGCTTCTAATAGTGACTAATATTTCCTTTTTAATTTCAACCTTTCAGACTTTTCAGTTCTCAATGCATTGTTGCTCCCAGAATATTCCTCCCTTATTCTTTCAGGCATGGTTTGCAATGTTTATTTTCACATGTGTTTTGCCAAATCAGAAGGAGCTCTATTAGGCAATCGTTCAATATTCATCAGAAAGTATGTTAGATCCAAATTGACAGAAGGATCCAGGGGCTCTGATATCTACTCCCTCAGCCCCTGTTAACACCACACTTAAGTTGCTATTCCAGCAGTAGCTTGCCCAGACATTGTGATCTACTGCTAATTATGAAGTCTTTGATTATCAGACAATACTAACTGCTGTCCTACTAAAATAAGTCTCTCTGGTGGTATTTTTTCAACTAAATCTTGATACTTTATTTTTTTTATAACAGGATTGTTTGACAAGACCTACATTCCCTAAAATCTTAATGACAGGAATTAATGTTCTTAATACTGAGTTTTAAGTTTTAATACTCTCCACTTTTCTAACTATTTTTCCTTCAACTGTCAAGTGAAGCTGTCCTTACTTAAACGAATGGACTTGTTTACTCTTCTTAAATTTTGGCACAGTGTTGTTCATCTGGTTTTTGTTTTAATTCTCATCACTATTGCAAGATGAAAAATTAATTTGCCTTCACAGTTATTCTTAGTTCTTTTAGCTCTTGAATATAAGTTATGGAACCTCTTGGATTAGAAGCATTTTCTTTCATTTAAATATCCAGCATGCTTCTTTGCTTTAAGTAGGGAAATGCTTTGTTGTACTAATATAATCTTGCTTTTTTAGATCAAGAAGACAATTACTGCATATTTTTTCCTATTCTGTTTCATCAGTAACAATTCCATTTCTGTCTAGTAGCAGGCTTATTTCCATGTTATCCTTTGGTTTTGCTGTACTTAAAAAAAGTTGGTTTGTATCATACTCTGCGACTTTTTCTTCTGCTTCTCCTTTCAGCTTGTTGGACTTGATAATTTCCCCTTTCTTTTAATTTTTCTTAGTAATTTCTAGTTGTGTCCCATATTTAACTCTTGATCCTGAACAGACTTTCATAGTTGTTCTCAGCTGGAAAATGATTTGATTTTATTTTTGCTGTACAGACTTTCAATTCTTAACTCTCATTGACACCTTTGGTGCTTAAATCATTCTTGTGTTCAGCTTAACTGAACTGTGGGAGATTAGCCTTTCATAACTGTGAAATAAAATATGTGATGTGGTGCAGGCTGTCCTATTTCTGTTCTTATGGAATTTCATCACAGATTCCTAGGCATAAGCTATTTTTAGTGACAGTTTCATCTTTAATTTTACTTCATTGTAACAGATGTTGTGTCGTTGTGCTTCTGTTGTGCTGGAAAATCTGTCATTCTGGTTTAAATGAAAACCAAAAATATTATAACCAAATGCTCAAAACCAGTAACTTGATGTTCTCTGACAGATTTTTCATTAATTTGAAACTTGCTCTTTTCCTGAGTTCGAATTGATGATTTCTACTAACCATCCAGAAGCTTCCATAAGCGACTTTGTGGCTTAAGACTTAGGATATACATTTGTATTTTTGAATGATTAGTGATTTTTCTCCTTCTGACTTACTGTCTTATCTTTCCTGGGCAGATTATATGCATTAAGGTAGACTGTTTTCCTTCATATTTATGGAATGTGCATAATTTCACTAAATTTTATCAGGCTACTGCTTAATGAGAATCTCAAATACCACTTGTTATCTTCTTGCTTAGTTCTGATAGGCACTTGATATGTCTTCAACTTTTTTGAATCACATGTTTCCAAATTCTCTTTATTAACTACATCTATTATCTGAAATACCCTCTTTGGGATGAGGTAGTTTGATGCCATCTAGTTTGCTCCAATTAATACAGTTTTGATTTGGTAACTTCTCACAGAATAGTTGTGTGAATTGGAATGGAGCTGGAAAGTCTTTATTGCTACCAGTAACCTCATAGTTCTTTTAATCTGCTTAAATATTTACTATGATGTATTTTTTTTGTGCCACTATCTTTAGTTCATGTACTATTTCTTTTTTAATATGCTTACCCCTCCTCCACCCGGAGTATTACAAGTAGTATTCTGTAAAAATTTCCTTTAAGATTGTTCATCTTAAAGTTTCTGTCTCCTGCTCTATTTTGGCTGTTCATTCTAACAGTCTCCTTCTAACATATATGCCTTCTTTCTTCATGCATGGCCTGTGAAGTTATTTCTGATTTATAAACATTCAGATGCAAAGAAGCATTTCTAGTTGGGAAGAGTAAATTTGCTTAGGACAATGGGCATGCTAAATTTACAGATTCTGTGACATTGCATGACTTAGCAAAATAAATGGAGTCAAAGTTTGGTGCTTTCCATGAAGTGATCTGCATTGGGGAATCTAAATTTTGTGTTAGAATTTACCAAATAGTCAAGAATGTATTTTTCTGTTAATAAAACCAAAAGTCTTTGAAATGTTTTATACTTGTTTTACTTTGAAAATGTCAGAAGCAGGAATTTAAAAAGTATGAACCTTTTGTGATTTGTGTCCCGTGTTTTAGTCTCAACTTATTTTTTCTGACCTTGATGGGAAAATATGGAAACTTGCTGTGCAGTGGCAATTTTAAATTTTCTTGGCTTTGAAGAGAAACTGAGTTTCTGTTAATATAATTAGGGAAAAAATTAAGTATTTTATTTTGTGTTTATTTTACTCCTGAAATTTATCAGTATGTCTTGGTCCTGAGTTTGCTTCTTATCCCAGAAAATTAAGAGCTTGTTGTTTACTACCTATATGCACGTATTAGAATTTTTCCAACAAGCTGGAACAAAACTCTGCTACAGAAACCCAAATTTTTTCAAAGGACCAAATTATAAACATTAGAGCTTTCATATTCTAGTATTTATTATGAGCCTTGAAATAAATATAGATTTTCAGCATTTACAAACAGGTCTAATATAACCTGTGATTAATAGTTCTGAAGGATAAAAAATTAGTTCCAAACACAATATCCATAACTTTTGCCTAAGTCAAATGTATTTTTGAAAACTCTCTAAAAGATCTTGCCTTTACCACCTTTAGGAAAGGACACATCTATAATGCAATGTGTCCTTTCATTAATTAACAATAAGTTCCTTTCCTCAGAATTGAGGTTACTAAAAGACTGTTAATTAGTGTCATGTATATGCACGAAAAATTCTCTGCAGGGGAAAATAAGTTGGACTTAAACTTTTAACACACAATGGGGAAATTCTCACATTTTTAATTGTGGAATTTAAAAAAATATTCTGTTAATCTAGTTCTAAATCTGTAATGCTTCTGGTTGTCTGTCTTCTATTACAGTGATTTATAGATATGTTGGTGTTGCAGAAACCTGTGGAAGTGATATAACCAATTAAACATAAATCAGTATTTAATGGAAGTGTGGGTGGGCAAAATGAGTTTTTTTGGTCAAAGACTGACCTTTTAAAATTACAGGATCATTTTGTTGTGACAGTATTGTTAACATGAGAAGTCAAACTAGCTAGTGGTTTGTTCTATGTTGTTTTACATCGCCTTTAAAAATGGATGTGTTTCAGAGCAATTCATGATGTTAAAGCCACAGACATGGGAATGAGCAAAGTGAGATTCAAGGCAGAAGTAGACTTTGATGGACGTGTTGTTACTCGGTGTTACCTGGAAAAACAAGATATTGAACAGCTGCTACAAGTATGTAGAAAAAATTGCTTTTGTAAGCCCCAATATTTGATACTTACTTTCCAATTTCAAGTACCTCTAAACCTAAAACTTGCAAATTGATGAGATACATTTCACTTCTTACTTTGAAAGGTTGCAGATGTTCTTTAGTAAGTGTTACTTTAGTTAGTGTTTTAAATGTACTTAGAGAGAACTGTATTATGTGCTGCTGAAAAAGACCTACATTTGGCCTGAGAAGGAGGAAGGTGGATTTTTTTTTTAAATTCATTACCCTCGAGATTGGCTCAGGTGGTCAGAGCCAACTGATAATAATGCCAAGGTTGTGCATTTGCTCCCTGCACTGGCCATTCATATAAGTGTTGGAGTAAATAACCCTTGTGTGTCACTTCCACTCACAATATTCTATGATTCTGTGATTGTTTTGTTAGAAAATCCAGATCTGTAAAAATGAAAAAATGATAAGAACATAATTATTCCAATACATTTATTGAATTACAAGATCTGCAGTTAAAGCTAGAAGCTTGTCACCTGCACATAGGCATCTGTTTTGGCAGAGCCATTTGCCCTGGGTGTTGGTGATGCTGGGGTTCACAGGTCCAGCTGTTCAGACTCAATGTGAATATGGATTGCCAGCATCACATGATTTAGCATTTCAATGATGTTTAACAATTAACCATCCTTTAGTAAGTACCAGTCTCTGATTTCAGTGTAGTTCAGAGTAGCCTTACTTAAGCCCTCTTTTCAAGACTGAACTGTTCTTTGCTGTATTCTGTATGGCAGGATTATGAAGTATGAAGAAAATAATTATTTATCCAAATTAAAAGGAGAGTTTTAAGTGAGAAAAACATTTTGACAAGACAATGTTTTTGTTTTCACTGGTACCTTTCTTATGTACATTTGTTTGTTTACAAAATTTCCTTCTTTTCTACCTTTTCAAAATGAAATACAGATGTCTGCATTTTGTCTGTCCATTAAGCAAGTACTTGGAAGTTATATTTACTTTAAAATTTTATATTGCAATTTTAAAAAGCATTAGTCAGTATCCCAGTTTTAAAAACATGTTAATGTCAAAATAAGAATTAGGTATGTGTATGTATAGTGCAATATCTGGTCTGTTCATCTACTGGATTTCAATAGAATACATTTTTTGAGAGGAGGAGTGCTATCAGCTTTGTACCACTGAGACACTGCAACTTTGCCTAGTTTTAGATTGCCAGTTGTTTTGCTGTTGCAGTTTTTAGTACTAGTCTTCTTTTCAAGGTTTTTTTAGCTTTTATTCTTTACCTGCTATTCCCTTTGGCAATTGCATACAACCTCCACTATTCTTACAATACTTGGAGTATTGTTGGGAAAGATCTTCCTGATTGATTCTAGGTTGGCAACTGTTTCTTACACAGGTCATTGTTGTTTCATGTAGTAACCTCACATCAGCTATAAAAACATCATTGAGGGATAGCTCCTTTCAGTAGGCTTCAGCCATCCTAAGTCAGAGGCAGACACTGTGCTTGCCTTTTGATCTATACTTTTCAAATAAGCAGCTCATTCAACTAGCACTGCTGTCAACGTTATTCTTCCTACAGTTGTGAAATATTTGTTGAAATGCTGTCATTTAGATTACCTTGATTTTTTTCTTGTTAGACTTTCTGTTTTTGTAGTCATGGGTTATTGTGGTTGAGATATGTTTTAAGCTTGCTCAATTACATTATTCTTCTTCAGCTTTAGAGCAGTGAGAAGGGAAGAGAAGTTGCTGTCATGTACTTGTATGCACAAGAAGAATTAGTTGTTTCATAATTTGTGTCTTTTTGCAATAACCTGTTTATCCTAAACATACTGCAGCTGAGATAAACTACAGGACAAATGGCTTCCAGATAGGTTGGTCTGAGACCTCTAAGGAAAGCTCATGGCTTTAAACTGAAAGACATAAAGTAGATATAAAAAAAAATGCTTTACTGTGGTGGCTGGGATGGGGAGACAGTGGAACAGGCTGCCTAGAGGGAAGCTGTGGATGCCCCATCCCTTGGGGTTTTTAGGGACAGGTTGGACAGGACCCTGAGTAACCTGGTGTGGCAGAAAGTGTCCCTGCCCATGGCAGTGCAGGAACAACTGGATGATATTTAAGGCCTTTCTGACCCAAACCATTATATGGTTCTATGGCAATACTGTAGTACCTGCTTTGGTGCTGCTGTTGTCTGTGGTATTTTGGAGGGTGGAGTTTAACATACTGTCTTCCTTAATCTCATTCCATCTGTTTCTTATGCTGTTGGTTTCTTAGTCTGAGTTCCTGTCAACTGTCACAGTTTCTGATGTTATGGAGGAGTCATATTTACAGCAGCATTTGTCATAATCCTTGTGGACTTTCAGATGGGTTGGTTATGTGATGCCCAGACTAGACAGTGTAATGGAATAGCAAGAATGTAGAAAATGGAGAAGGAATACATGGGGACCCTGCTCTGCCTTGCTGTGAGAAATACCTCAGAAACTTCTAGAAAATGAATGAGATTCTCTAAACTTATATGGAAAGTTAAGGAGGAAATCAGTTGCAGATAGAAAAAGGTTTTGTATTAAATGCAGGTGTAATGACAGAGCCAGCTGTTTTCATCAAATAGATGCTACTCTTCTGTGACTTTGAGACACAAGAACAGATGATGTTTTGAGAGTAAATGGCAAAAGCTGAAGTGTTTTGTTTAGGTTTTTTTTTCCTCCCTCTTGAAATATGTCAAGACCCTCTGGAGTGTTATTCCTTTATTTTCTTCTTCTCATCTCAATCTCTTAAATTTAATTTCTTCCTAGGAAATTCAGCAAGTGAAAACCCTTGAAGAATTAGAAGCCTTTATGCTAAAGCATGGCGAGAATATCGTTGACACGCTGGGAGCTGAAGTAGACAGACTTGAGAAGGACCTGAAGGTAAATTTAACTGCTTATTAGTGAGTGCTTATTCTGTGATATATTTTAAACAGTATCTCTGCATCTAGTTTCTGAGATTTCATTTGTAAATATGAGAGAGGGAAGGAAGTTGATATTACAAATGCAGATTTTCTTGCTCTAGTATTATTATCTGAGTTCTGACCACCAGAAAGTCCTTGCTTTGCCACTGATCCATTTGTTAAATTTTTTGTTCCATTTCATACCAACATACGACAAATTTTCATTCAGTAGACCTGAAAGTGTCTTTTTTACTGTATTCTCACAATGCCAGACTATTTATAGGTCATTGAATTCTGTTTTGGTTGTAAAAAAGTAATTTTTTTTTTAAACTGGTTATTAGAATTGTATCAAATATTTATGGGTGATGGGACTGCTATTCAACATCTTTCACTCCTGTTGAATCTGTACAGTGTTTGTTTTACTTTACAAAAGCCTCTCTTTTCTTTTTTCATCCTGCAATTTAAATATCCTCTAGCTGATGCAAGAAAGGGTTGTTCCTATTTTTAATTTTGTAAGTATGTTGAGGCTGTCAGTCTTACTTTCCTGTTATGGATTCAAAACTACAAGTATACTGACCCTCAGATAAATGCAGTCCTGCCATGACTGTTCCTTCTGGCCATGAGACACTACTTAAGAGCATGTCTGTCCTTGCTTGTTATATTTCATAAATATTCTAGCTTAAGTTTCTATCCCTAGGGTTGTCCTGTTTAAGAATCAAAATACTATTTTTGATTTTATTTGCACCATCTGAATCAGTTTTTCATACATGGTTTTTGAGGAGGAGGATCATGCCTAAATTTTTTATAAGCATGTATACTGCTTTTTGGTATAGGCATATATATAGTGATTGTGTAGGTATTGAATATGCTTTACTATATATGCTAGTCAGGTTTACGTGCTGGATATCTTTGAAGTCATGACTTTGTCATGGATTGTACAATTCATGTCATGGTGATAATATATTTCTGTAATATCAGAAAATGCATATTTCTTAATAGAAACAATGTTCTGAATCTTTATAAATAGCTTCAGTGGCATAGAACAAATTATTTCAGCAATCTTACCCATTATTCAGGAAAGTATCTGTTAAAACTTTAAAAAAGTGAGGTGTGTATATATATTTGTATAAAACTCTACCGCCTTGTTAAAATTGAAAGCTCCTCCATACTTTATAAAGCATAAGAACTAATTTATCCATGATGTTGAAAAGTATTTTTCAAATAAAAAGATGACTTGGCCTTCCAAGAATGCCTTATAATATGGACAATGTTTATTGAAACTCTTCCTGATTTTAAAATAGTCCCTATGTTACCCAAAAAGGGGATTTGTTATCCAATTGACAACATCATACTAGAAACACATTAGATGTGCAAAAATGAATATTTTCAATACACTGTTTTTAAATTTTATTTCAGCAACGAAATCCTGATGTTCGTCATGTGGATTTGGAGATACTGTAGACTTGAGCAGAAGAAGTCTTCAGGTTGCTACACTTATGGAAAGAAGTCATGTAAAGGGCTGAAAAGCTTCTGAGATTGCAGTGACCTCAGCACCATACCTCGCTTCCTTTGCTGTAGGCTTCCTGGACTGTTAGCACTGCTTCTGTTTCTGGAAGAGCGCTAGACTTGCAGGCAAAAAATTTCCATGGAAAAATCAGTTTCAAAAAGCTACTTGAGTTAAATTCCACAGGAGAGTCTGCCCAAGTACATTCACTGCGATTCAGAACTTACAACTTCAGGTTTAGTTAGGCAAATACAGCTGCCTGAAACTATACAACACATGTAGTTTTTCCATTTGTGTCCCTTTGCAGTCTGTTTGCACTTCTTTAGTTTCTTTCAAGATATCATTAAAGGTTCTTGGGAGATATTAAGATTAGCTAGGAAGAGTTTGTTCCAGTGGAACCTGCCAATGTTAAATTGTAATATTTCAACTGTGTGATTGTTTCACAGTTTTTCTTTTCTATGAGATAAATTGTTTCAAATGGGCGCTGGCCTTATCTCAAGTACCATGACCTGGAAACCTGCTTTTTGCCACCATTACAACTGCACTTCAGGAAAACAAGGCTTTTCACCTTAGAGGAGCCAACTGTATGGTTTAGCCAGAATACATTGAGTTACTGTGAAAAATTACTGTGTACAAATTTCGGTGCACTTCCTCTCTTTAAATTTTGCTTTTTTCCCTACTTTAACACTTGTTCTCTTATTTGTAAGTATCTTCAGATGTGATCTGGGAGATATTTATGGTAGTGCTTATTAAAAGTTACCTGGCATTTTTGGCTTTTTATATTTTAATAGACTCTATTGCCAGATAAGGTCTTTGCTAGAAGATATGAGAGATGTAGCTGGAATATATAATAGTAAAAAAATGATCTATTTATAATTAAACAAATGAATACATTGTATTTTTAATTTATTTGCCTTTAGATATTACCTGAATTCAAAACCACTTAGCCCAAATTTTTGTATAACTTGAGCTTGCTTGTTTGGAAAAGTAGAGTAATTCCATCAGTGGTCCTCAACAATCCAGAGATAAGTGATTAGTTTATAACTTGGAAATGTGAAATTCTAGAGCTGTGTACAATTGTCTCAAGGCTTTCTGCAGTAGGTACTCAAGTCGTATCAGATACTTTGAGACCTAGTCTTTATTAATAAGGCCATGAGTACTGAACATGCAAGTTGAAATATAAATGAAATAACCATATTTAAGTAGCACTGATGACAAGTCTTTATGCACTTTAATGTAAAAAAAGATTTGCTTGTGGGTGACAGGTAGTAATAAGACCATCCTAGTAACTCAGTTGCTGAGTAATAGCTGAATTGCTAAAAGAAGAAGTGTTGATATGAAACACAAGTCTTCAAAAATCAATTTAAGATTCTATTATAAGCATTGCAGCAAAGAATTGTGGAGACCAATATGTACAGATTTGACTAAAAACATTTTAGGATATTTTTTTCATACTAGGTGTCACTTCATCAGTGAACAATGAGAATTTAACATAACATGCCTTTTTGACAACTGCAAAGCACTTTGCATGCTGGTCATTTTAAGTAAAAAAACATTCCAGAATTAAGTTACATATGGGGCTTCACAAACAGTTATTGTAGGTGAAAGGATCTTTTTGGTACCCTTTTCCATAATCCCTATTCACTGGTGGCTTCTTTATAGCATATTACCTTATTATGGCTAATTCAAAAGAAGGCTTACGTTATCTGGTTTTCTCCTACTGCAAAACTAGTTAGTATATTTAAGCCTGATGATTTAAAATGCAGTTTAAAGGTAATTTGGAAGTCTCCCATATGAAATAAATAAGGCATATTTTTAGCACATGATAAATAATTTACCTTTCTCCTCGCCCTTCTATGTAAAATTCATCTCATCTCAGTATGCACTCTCCTGGTATTAGTCTTATTCATGAAGAGCACTGGAACCTGGTAACGCATAACATGTTTTCTTCTCCTTGGAATATCTATATGGATTTTGAATTTGAATAAACACATTAATAAACCAGTTTTTCAGAAATCAAAAACCTGAAGAGAAGTGAAACTGGTAAAATGTTCTTCCTGCAGAGGTTAGTGAAGACAGCCAATGTGATCCAAGTGGTTTGCATGCTGGAATTACTGATGAATGAATAGTGTCAGTGTGCACTTTGCAGGGCAGAACTTTCCCTGTAAGATTAGTAAATATTATCTCAATACCAAAGTGTTCCTGTATAATTTTCAAGAGGAGGTATGAGCTTATATTGTTCCAAGTCATCTGCTCCAAAAGCCTATAAAAATGGTTTTTTTATTCATTGGAGATGTAATTAATCTGAATTCTGATCTTAGTTTTCTTATTTGAGTCAGAAAAATGCCCATTCACACCTTCTGTTTATATTCCAAGATAGAATTGAGTTCCTTGTCTCCCCGTTACTTTTATAGCATCACGATATGCTAAATTCAGGATGTCAGGACTTGAATGGTTTTAGGTACATTACTGTTGACCAGTCTGAGCACCCAGTTCCATGTTTTGAAGTGACCTGGATGGTGATGTACTACAAAAAGGCAGGCAGACTGGTTTTGGCAGTACTTTGTGAGTTTACATGTCGTGCAGTTGGATGGAAGTACTGATTCATTGAGCCTGCCAGGCTGGAAAAGAATACTAATTCCAAGCTGTTACGTTTTAATTTATATGTTATAATTTGCAAATTGTTTTTAAGATATGACATTTTTACTGATAATTTTTCTTTAACTGTCTTTATAGTCAAAATTTTTGAGGTAATATGGGTCCACAACTTAGTTTACTTTTGTTTTAATGTTTTTGAGGAAAATAATTAGCTAATAAATTTACATATACATGATAGTCCTCAGATTAAAGAACTGTACATGTGTGGAGGAGTGAATTTTTCTTTATCATAAATGCAATTACAAAATGGGTTTTTTTTACAGATTTTAAGGAAAATAAGTGAGGATTTACCTAACAATAAAGTTATATTCTAGGATTTTTTCAATTAAGGTGTGGTGTTTTAAAGTAATTTATTTCTGTAGACTGGCATTGTGGGTTCTATTTTTTCAAATTTTGTTTAAAGTATGGCTGCCCTCTCTGCTTTGTGGAAAATTTTTATATGCTGTGCAGTGACTCATAATTCTGTAAAACTTAAAACGTTTGAAAAACTTGTCTTAGTGTTCCAATATACTGAATGATCTTAATGTATCTGAAGTCCAAGTTGGCTGGATAGTAATAATGTTTTTCTATAGAATATTTTTTTCTGTAAAAGATAAAATTCTGAAGTGATTATCTTTCCCCCAGCAATGAACTTCAAGTCTAAATTGTCTCCATTATACACTGGAATTCAGCATTTGATGTGGTGTCCCTTTCCCCCTCTACTTTTACAGCATTTATTAAGAGTACAGTGGTAGTAGTAAACACCCTGGTAGATTACTGTACTACAGGGACTCTTTGGTGGTTTGTGTTCTGGTCCAGAAGCAGTGGGGGAAACACATTTGTTAAGGACAAGTTTGCATCCTTTATTCCCTGTGACTCATCCTTGAACTGAAGGCTTTTTAGACTCCTATTTTTTTTCTTCCTTGAATTCCCACACAGATTTTATTGCTTTTTAAAAGTAACTCTTAGAGAAAGAAGCTATTATGAGCATCTTACATTTTTAAAAGCAGGGCTGAATTCTACTCTTGGTCTGTGAATTTTGTCCCGTACTTCCTGTTCATTAATAGTTGAGAATAGTGATTACTGTTTTGAAAGCTACAAACCATGTTAGCCAAAACCAAGTTTTCTGATTCTGTGAGGTTTTTTTTCAGCTGTATCTGGACACTCAGTTTTTGAGAGATTTCTACTGCCCCCTCTTTGATAAAAGGAGACTGCAGGAATGATTTTAGGTATATTTTGTCTAGGTTATACATTGATTGCAGTCCTGTTTCCTCTTTATTTGTAATAAATTTAGCTGTTTTTTCTTTTTCTGTAACGAAGAAAACAATATATATAATGAACTTTCTCTAATAGTGATGAGTACATCAAATACAGTCTTCATGCAAAGACTTTCTATGCCCTTCTCTATTCAAAGTGTGGCGATTTTTGAAAATTGTCAATGAAGTAATCCTTTTTCTAAACTTGACTTAGGTGTTTTCCTTATAGAAGAAACCAGAGCACCATTTTGTTTAAGATTTGAAAACAAAGTGTTTCCTTTTATGGTCATATGTTCTTGAGGCATTTTGGCATGGTAGGATAATTGATGAATATTGACTCATGTACAAAACCTGCCCTTCTGTGCATATCTAGAGGCTTACAGAAGTGAATATAAAATGACAGTGTGCTTTTTTTCCTTCTAGCTTAAGTGTTGTGCTGCTTCTGTTCTTATTGTTGGCTCTGAATGGGGAGTACCATTAACATCTCTTTTGCAGAGTTTACCTGCTTAATGTAAATGAGAAGTTGAGATGTACCAAAAAGATTTTTTTAATACAGGGTTTGCATAGCTTAAGTAATTTTTCCTTTCTTGTTAGTGAGACACAAATCATTAAGATCAAAAGTAGACTATATTACATAAAAAAAGAAATAGGAATCCAGGCTCTAAAGCACAATAGTTCAATTTTTGAAATGTATATCCTTTGAGGAAAATAAAACAGAAGCTCTAAGTGGATGTATGGTCTATAGAAACTGCGGTCAGGCTTTGCTGAAGCAAAAGAAATTAAACTAAAAGTATATGATTAAAAGAAAAGAACCCAAGGAAGGAAAAGACCCAAGACACTGAGCATCTGGAAATAGGAAAGGATGAAAATAATCTAAAAAACTTGTCCAGAAATAAGAAATAATGATTGGAGAATTCCCTATACTGAAAATCAGAGCTTCTGTCTAACTATGTCCTGATATGGTGTTCAGCCTTGCAGGTACAAACCTATTTGTCCACTGAAGACTGCTAAGGGTGATGTTGTAATCTCAGTTTTTGTTGGTGAGATGTGTTTGGTAAGTAGAGGGTGAGTAATGTTATTTGTGAAAGTGAGAACTGGAGTGAATTAAAGAGAAAATTAATTGATTCTTTTAGACTGAAGCATCATATTGAATGTGCTGTGGGAAAAGAGGTGCTCTGTTGTAATGTCTGCAGAATTCTTGCAATGGACTGTAGTCATTGATGAATACATTAGTCTTTATTTTTCAATTTACTGAGATGTCTGTGGATAAGCAAGATTTCTAATTAACATTCTGAAAAGGAGATAAAACATTCAAAATATAATGTGAAAAGGACGTATGTTTTTAAAATAACACAGACATTATAGCACATTATAATAGATAGGCAGAAAGTATTCTGTTTACGTAGGGTGCTTGTGGACATTTTTTTCTTGTGTAAATCAAAGCTACCAATTAAAATAAAAGGCCATGGTTACTTTTTATAAGTGTTACACTAACAGCAAGCCCAGTCAAATTTTTGTATAGCCAGCATTCATAGTTCTGTTCTGAGGTGCCTGTTAAAATAGTGGAATACTCATCCATAATCTAGCATAAATTTGGTTTTTGTAATCTAAATTACAAGATTAGACTCTTTAAAACTTTTGAGGTTATGATCAGCTGCTTCAAATCTGAAGTCAGAAGAAAAAAGGAAGCAATGATGTATAAATGATGTAATATAAAAGGGATTTTGTAAGCTACTCTTCAAATTAAATATGCTGAAGGACTGTGTGAAAAGTGTTTGAAAAATGCCTAAAGCATTTGGAAAGCATTTTGGCTATTGCCAAGATGGCATTAAATTTGAAAGTCAACAGAGAGGATTTTTCACCCGTGGTACAACTTTCAAAGGGCAATGTCAAAGTCAAAATCCATTTTTCCATGCAATCTTTTAATCAGATTCACCAGTCCCCTCCCCACCCCATGCCTTGCATTTTGGTGTATCGGCTTTTTCATTCTGTGTCTTGGTTACTCCATATTGGTATGGGGCAGTCATTTTGATTTGTGAGGTGTAGACCTTGGAATACTTACCTGCATATGTTCTTTGTTCTGTAATTATACTTGAATTCAGTACATTCTGTATCGTGGCTGGAAGTTGTAATTTCTCAGTAAAATGTTACATAGCCAGTAAGGGTCGTGTTCTGTTAATTTAAGCAATTTTATATGTATTGGAAAAGTAAGCAATAACACTGGCTCTAGGCAGCTGATGATTCACTATGTTTCTGAATTCCAATAGCATATAACTGTTTTATGGATGTCAAACAAAGGTTCTGTCCATCTCTTTGTGCTAGTTATTCAATCTGCCTTTGCAACACTGGCACACACTGTTCAATAGCATGTGCTGGGTGAGGGAGCAACATGCCCAGGCTGGCCAAGCTCTGTATTTGTTCTCTGAACCTCACTGGCAAATCTGCCTTTCATCCTGTTCTCTCCTTGCCCTCAAAGAGGGTGGTTCCTTCCCCAGTACTGGGAAAGCTCTTTCTGCCTGGCTTGGAGGCCCACTGGCACTGTCTCCAGTTTGGATTACCTGTCCTGATCCAGATGGAAGGATGACATGAAGAAAGGTAGTACTACAGATGGGCTGCGTGTCTGTGTATAGTCAATGGTATGAAGAATTCCTTGAAGAGGTTGGATTTAAGTGTTAGGCTTGCATAGTAACCGTAGTTTCACAATCCCAGCAAAGCTGTCCAAGCCTCTTAAGAAAAGGCTTGAAATTAGTCAGCTTAGAAAGGATTTAATGTACTGTCTGGTACACTTAAGTTCTGCCTCTTATCACTAATACTAATAAAACTGCTTATTTATCCAGTTATGGGAAGAATTGCTTCTAACTGGGCTAAAAAAAATTATGTGGTTGGAAAGAAGAGTCAAAAGTGTCAGAAATCTGGCTAATGAAGTGGAGAAACTTGAAAAACTGTTTTTTGTCTGTATGGTATCACATACTAGAAATAAAGGGGTCAAGCAACATTGCAGGAAAGATTTTGGCTATGCACTGTATGTCCTTATTGCTAAAGATGTTTCATTTCATAGTGAAGAGATTCCCTTTCTCAAGGGAAGTTTGTTGGATTCCTATGGTTTTGTTGTGCTTTTTTTTTTTCCTCTAATGAACCAAATGGCACAAGATCCACCTGAACAGAGAAGTGAGACTTGAGGGCCTCATCTCTTGTCTATTTGAGGTCAAGTTCAAATACTGGGCTGTCTTTGGGATGTTGGAATAACCAAGGAAGTGGTCTCAGCCACTTCAAAAGAGGGAAAGAGCTCTGTCATTTCACATAATGTAACCTGGAATCTTCCAAATACTTTCTTTATTTGCTGTCTGTGACATTTATTGAAAGGGCATTCCAAAATAATTGTGTTAAATCAGGGGTAATGGGTTGAAGTGGGACCTTGCAGTCAGCTGGTTGAAGGTGATCTTAAAAGTGCTGTTCAAGAAGGAGTTTTGCCTGTCTTTGCATATACTTTATGAAGGACTTATTAAAAGATCATGAAAAGTAAACCTTCCTTTAGTGTTTGAATTAAACTTTTTTTGAAAACCCTAGGAAAATGGACGTAATTTCTGCTTTCACCAGCTCAGCTCCCAGTAAATTACAAGTATTGATTTTCCTAAGCTCTTTGTGATTTTTTTTTTTTTTAATTTAAACTTCAGTTCTGATGCTGAACTGGGGCTTAGTAAGATCTTTTCTAGGTTCTCTTTCTGATACCTGAGGTGACTGGAACGTTATTCACTGCTCTAGTGTAAACTGATATTCAGTGTTAGAGAAGTATTTTTTTACCTCAAATACTGATTGAACAGCAGCTTACCATTAAATCAGGCTACTCCGGATACACAAAGCATTAAGTTTAGGGTTAAATGTGGGGGTTTTATTTTTCTCCAAGGCAGTCATTAAAAAAAATCCATCTTGAATTTGTTGCATGTAAAAATGCATTTGTATAATATGAACCTCTGTCTCTGCGTGTTGCAATTGCATGTAGGTGTCTTTGGCTGCAGATTTGTACTCACTGATGTTTCTCATGAAAGACCACTTTCTCAGCATCACAGCAAAAATCAAAATTAAATCCTGTGAAAAAAGATGCTGATGAATTTTGACAACTTGGAAACCTTGAGGCAAGAGAGACTTTCCAGTAAGGCCATGGCTTGAACCCATTCTGCTTCTTTCCCTTTATGCTTTGCACTGATTTCATTGGTTTTGACCTTTATTGTAGAATCTCAGTTTCAGGGTAGTTAAAAATAAGGGTTTTAGGTGTAGTAGACTAATTCCAAAATCTATGTTCCAGGTGCTCCAGCTGATGAGTAGGTAATTGGACACTTCTTGATCACCGAGGGAGATGTGCAGTTGTATTCTGGCTAGCATTTGGTGGGTTTACAAAAGTGCCAGGGTTAACTTTTTTTCATGGAAATATCTCAGCCTAGAACAATTTTCCTGATGCTGTAGGTGGGAAAGATACCCCAGGTGTTTCCTTGACATTCTGTTTGTCAAGAGACTGTGTTGGAACTTTTTGCTTTGCTTCTCTCTACTATTCTTTGGCAAATAAAAATTCCCTTTTCTTCAATAAGTAGGTTTTGTCTCTTTGAGGTTCTCACATAATTTTGGAAGATTTGCAGCTTTTCAATCACATTGCTACCAAGCATTTTTGAAAGGTTTAATTAGACTTTTTCTGCTCTACTATTGACCCTGTTCCTAAATGGGAACTAAATTTAATATTAACTTTTCTAATGAGAAACTACTTTAAGTCATTAGCAAACCTGTTTCTTTCCATTTTCATACAAAGACAACCTAGGTTGAGGCAATTATATCTGTCAGATGAGTGGGAAAGTTTAAAGCATTTTTAAGGACAAAAGGGTTTTTTAGCTTTTTCCCAACATTGTTGTTCAAGTTCGTGTCAGGTTTTTTTTCTCTCAACTTAGCTAATTAATCTGCTGGTGTGGCTTTTTTTTTTTCTTTCCTTAGTGTGATACATTTGTAGTAGAAGCTGCTTTTATAGTTCAAATGTTGAAGGGTCTGTGGAGGAGGTTTTGCATTCACAGGGCAAGGTCCACATACTGAGTTCTGCCAAGTATTCCACAGGGCTCCCTGGTGCAGCAGGGAAGGTTTATCCCTGGAAAACTGTTTATGTATGAACTCGCTAGGAAATAACCAAGACAGAGCTTCTGATTTAAATAGGCCTTAAGGAGTGGTCAGGTCACATCATGGTGTTGGCTTGCTCTGTCGTAACTGAGATTTATGTGATGATTTCCTGGAGCTGCAGTTACACTCACCTTGTGCTGAAGCCCTGGGGTACTGGTTATAGTTACTGATGAGCATAAGTAGGAGTCGGGTAGGGAAAGATGAGTTCTTTTTGAGATATGGCATTCTTTTTGGGATTATGTGCATGTTTCCAAACAGAAACTCACTTTGCAAGTCAGTAGGCATTGTGTATTTGTCCATGCTGCCTGAGCTAGTGGCAGCCCACTGGCTTCAGTCAGTGCCTCAGCAGAGGGACGGAGGCAGAGTAAACCCTGCCTAGCTGATTGAGGACAAGAGTTTGCAGCGTGAGTAATCTTATTAAAGTAACATTACAAACACTTGAATAATATGAGCTTGCTCGTGAACTTGTTCAAAGCAAATGAGCTAAAAACTAAATACCTTCATATGCATGAGGTTCTATGTCTGGCTTGGAGCTTTAAGTTCTGTTCAGGGACATCTTGTGCCTCAGGAGAGACGCAACTGCCTGCATGGGCCATGCTTCTGAGGGCACCAGCATTGCTGCACAGCAGGAGCACAGTTTCGCCATCGCCTTACCAGTATGTTTTACAGGTATTTAGTGGAAGTGATAAAATGCAACATTATTGAATTACACTCCCCATCTGTGCTGCTTGTTCCACTGCAGTTACTTCCCAGGTCTGCTTCTTCCCCATCCCAGGTACCTGTTCTGTACTCCTTCTCTCTGCCTGCCTGGCCCCAGGCACTACCTCTCATGCTTATCCCCTTCCAAAAGCCCTCCTGTTAGGCCTAATCTCTCTTTTTGAGCTACATAAACACGACTGCTGCCTTTGGTTCCCTAATGTACTCTTCTTCCTTGCCAGCTTTCCCTGCTGAATTCCTACCTGTACTGCTTCACCCTGTTTGGTTCATACACAGCCCATCCCTGCTCCCTCTTGCCTCCAGGTCTGCCCTCAGACATTTCCAGCCATTGCCCAAAAGTCTGGGAAGTCAAAGTTTTTCAAACAGAAGCTAATTATATTTTTTTTGCACATAGATTAATACAGATTTTCTACCTCAATTTCTTAGAGTTAAATTATTTTGGTGGGGATATTAGTAAACAGTTCTCACTGATTGTGATCGTCACAAAAAAAAAAAAAAAAAAAGCAGTAGACTGAAGCCCCTGACCTAGAAAATACTTGCCCAACCCCAGTTAGTTTTGCAGCATTACAGGCACCGAAAAGCACTGTTTTATAATGGTACTATTTGGTAACCATTTCAAGTGGTTGACACCAGCCTGTGGACTGGCCCTGGCTTCACAGCCCAGCAGCAGTGATTTGCTGTGCTGAATGTTTGTCACTGTAATTCCTCTACAAATTATCTGGAGCCAGGATTTTCTGAAGCGTTTAAGAGAACAGGATACATTCAGCCATCACTGGATTCTGAATTAAAATGGGATTTAAATGTCACTGCTTGAAAATCCAGGTTCTAAGATTGCAGATGGGTACTTCCTTTGAATAGCCTTTCTGTTTAACCAGAACATAAATCTATGTGGCTGTACATTGAGGTGAAAATGATTTATATTATATTCATACTTGAATTCTTCATAATCTTTTCCTGTGCTTTCTGGTGCTTCATACCAAACAAGCATTTAATGCAAAAGAAAATGCTCTAGCCCTTTATATAAATCTAAAACGTTTAATATATATTTATAGTGAGACCCAGGTATCATGGCTGTCACACTGACACAAGATTGCCTCTAGAGAAAGAAAGACAGGTTAACCAGAGACTAACTTTTATTGTGCATTTTTTATGCAACAGAACAAATGGAACTGGAGGTATGTAGTAATAAAACCAATATTCAAATTAGAATTAACACCTGAAATAGTAAACTGTAGGTAACAAATGTCTTTATAATTAAAAAATATTGACTGTTTAAAAAATTCTCTAAGATTTTATATTCTTTAAAAGAAATGTGTGTTGCCACATAGAAAACAATTCACACATCCTATAGAAATCGTCACAAAAACCTTACTAGTCTATATTACACTATGCACTTTTCTTTTGTACAATATCTGATAAAGGTCTATCCCTAACCTGTACTTACTCTACACAGTACAATCATCATAAGAAAGTATTCATAGAATTAACTACACCATAACAATAAAAATATCAGGATTAATGTTTTTTTTAATCACAGTTTCTCCACAAATATTTGTCATAGAAAATATAGCGAAGGCATGTTGGCACAGATGGGCGTGCGGCGCTGCTACACAAAGTTTGAGAGAAGGCAGATACATAAATGACAGTAAGATTAAAGTGTATGGAAGGATAAGACAAGAATCTCTATCCTCCTGGGACTTCCTGGAGTGACATGATAGATAGCAGTTTCCTTCTGTTGCTGGGAAGGGATGTGCTGGCTTATAAAGCACACTGCCTAAATATGGATATCTCCCTCTGCAAGGGCTTATGTGCTATCTATTATTTCAGGTCCCATATCTAACATATTGCAGATATTTAGATGCTTCAATGTGTATGAATTTACAACACCTAATGAACAAATTAACTGGAATAGGTTGTTGCGCAAGGTTTGGGATTTTTAAAATGAAATGTGTGAGTCAAGTGGCCACAATGGCAATTAAAAACGAAGAACTGACAAAAAACCAAAACATGAACAAAAACATGAGCTGGTGTCTGTTAATGCCTATCTGTGGCCATGATTCATGTCACTGGCCAGTGCACATAAGCAATTGAGGACAAAATTTTGTTCATAAAGAAAGGTCCAAACCTGCGAAGCAATTTGTACTGCCAAAGCGACTTTCAGGATGAAATGATACTTTTGGTTATTTTGCACAATGTGAGTAGAGGACTGTGAGTGGTTCCAGGATGCTGGCTATGCTTTTTACACTAGAAATAAAGCTAGGCTTACTAGTTATTTCAGCAAATCTTTCAGTTATTAAGTGAGAGGTCTGTCCAGTTCAGTAATTCTGTTCTGTGACTGTTAGAAAGTGTTTATATCTTAAACATCATACAATTAAGCATCTGAAAGGAAACCATCACAATGTTTACAAAAATACAGCATGATACATATCGCTGTGGACAAATTTACAGTATAATGTTGACTCACACGTTCTGACATGTTTTACCAAATAGTTCTGGTGTGTGTCACCACATTAAACATAGACCAGCAAGACTTACACCATCTGAGCAATGTAACATCTTCTATTATAGTTCTTTTTTAAAAAGTGTAAGTTCAACACCGAAAAGCTACTATAGGATATCTGTACTGTGACATTTCTATACACTGAATTTCTCCTCCAGAGGCCACCACGTGGTGTGACCGCTCCAAGAAAGTCACCTCCTGCCTGTAATGAAGGAATGCTGTACTAAACCCCTTGGTCTAGTGAGGTCCTGTGTGACTAAGCCACTAGTTGACTTTAAGAAAATAAATTAATTATTTGGGGGCCAGCGAGTACCTTTCAACCCCCTTTCAAAAAAATCACCAAAATTAAAGTGAATCGAGAGGTATTGGACATTTGAGGGCCTAAAGCACATGGGGACTGAGCAAGGTCCTCTCTATGGCCGTGCATGGCGAGCCTGTGTCCCGAGATGCCCCAAGGGCCAGGAGAGACCCGTCACCACCACAGGCAAAGGGAAGCAGAGGGCAGGAAGGAAGGAGCTCCTGCCTCTGCGTGGGTGAGCTGAACTTGGAGAGACTGCCCCAGCCCTGCAGCCAGGCTGGGACTCGAGGAGCACTGCACCCTAGAGAGCCTTCCTGGTCTCTGAGGAAGGGTCCAGTGCCTCCTGCCTTGCCTGGTGCATGGGGAGCAGGTGGGGAAGGGGAGGAGAAGGGGAAAGGGAGCCATTAGTAGCTGGGGGAGTATGAGAGCGTTCAGGAGAGTCAACGCTGATGAGGTAGCACTACGGGTGGCCAAAAGTGAAGTGAGCTTTCTTCCCAAAACCAGCTCCCTGTACCTGCCAGTGGGGGAATGTTGCCTCAGGAAATGCTGGTTCAGGCTGTGGAGGATGCCAACACTGGCCTGAGTGAGCACACAAAGGTAAGGAGATGGAAACACACTGATGTGGAAAGGAAAGGGCATCGTTTCTTTGGCATTGCATGTTTCTGGCATGGATCAATTTAGAGGGACAGTGGACTCCTAAACGCCTAAAATGAAACTTTTTTTGTGGATTGACTTTTGTTTTTAAAGCTAGTTTCTGCTTCCAATGTTGTGAACCATTGTAAATTCTGCTCCAACAGCTCTTTTCTTAAAGCTCTCAGTCTGGATCCCATCTCTACTTACTACAGAACACTAAACCAGGTTCTTCTTGCCCAGCCCCTCCCTGAATGCAACATTGACCAAAACCAGCACGTTGCCTCACCTCTTTCAAGGAATGGCTATAAAACACAAACTAAAGTGAAAACAAGAAAAGGCAATTTAAAGCCTCTAAAGCTACGTAATACAGCTGCAGAATAGGAACAAAGGAAAATCTGTTTTCTGAAATGGCAATTTGTTTTTAGCAATCTTGTTTTAATGAAAACTGTCATGATCAACTCTAATCCTCTAGAAATCTAGAGAAATATGCTGTCTATCTGATATACAATGCAATTTTTATCTGTTAGAAATGCCTGTTATTGTTCTGGGTCTTTGAAGGATTCTGCTGTTGATTAGTGCTGCTGTTTTACTCGAGAAGCTTAATTTCCTGACAGTCGGCTAAGAAAGTCCCTGGATTTTCTGTCTTGTGTGGTACTTTAAGGTAGCATTTATAATTATGTTCTTTTCTGTTAGCAAATGGGAAACCACTCCTTTTTTTTGTTGTAAGTGTGCAGACTTGTACAAATCTCCTAGTCAGGGAAAGCAAATAGCACCCAGCTGTTCTGAGTCTGGGCCTGGGATTGTTATCAATAGGCTGAAGAGATAGTAGCTGCTGTTTCTTTTGACACTTTTATAGTTTTAAAATGACCTTTCCTCTACAACTGGATGAAATGGACTGTATGCTCCCTTTGAGTGAGCTATGAAGGATTTGGAAATAATAGGCACTGAGAAGTCCCATAAAGCAGGTCTTGAAGTGGATTTCTTTCTGTTAACTGGGATATGGTAGGATGGAGAAGCTGAAATGTATGCAATATTTGTTCAAACATGCTTTGGACTCCTAAATGACAGCAGGGTTAAGTATGTTTAACAAACAGTCTCTCCCAAATTAAGTTTGCTACTGTTGTATGATGTGATTCTCACTGCCATCAATCTCCAGATCCATCTTGCATACCTCTGTTGAAGACATCATCCTGTGACCCTGGGTGGTCAGTCCCTTCGTAGTACGAGCTGCCATTGTGAAGGAAAGTCCCCACGGCGCGGCCCTGGCGCGCGTGTCCCACCGCGTCGCTGAACACCTTGTTTATCTGCTCTTCAGACGGCATCCACCAGTCCGGGTTGGAGGTACAGTGCATCCTAATGAACTCTGCAGGAAAACATGTCAGCATTAAAAGCAACTTGTCTTTGCAGCATCTGGTATTGCCCAGGTGTCAGCAGCTCATGGGAAATAAGAAAGGAGGTATTGCTGCTCTACTTAAGCAGAAGTAAAGCCTTATGGGGGATGCCATGATAATGCCACTTGGACCTATTTTATTTCTGCATAAGTGTGTTTCTCCACATGCAGTGTATGTTGTTACACCTGAGCTACCTAGGTGACTCATGGGACCTGGATATAAAATCCTTTCTTGTGGAAATACAAAGAACTAATTTGAAGTGAAGGCTGTGATTCAGCACGTGCAATACTTATGGAAGCTAACACGAGCCAGGACATATTTAATTAGAAACCTGTTGGTATCTATACCCCAAGGTGATTGCTGTTGGATCTTTCTGACCTCCCTCTGCTGGCTCCTTCAGCACCTGCAACCTGCAGGAGCCCCCAGCCTGCTGGAAAATGTCACTGCCTTTATTTCAGTTTGGTGCTCCTGTCTGTTTGGAATATCTTTCTTTTCAGTTCTGCTATTTTCATCTCCCTGTATTTTACACTTATTTTTTCAGACACTAATTTGGCCTTAGAAATAGTTAAATGAGATCAGAGTGCTGATTTGGGGAGCCTTGCAGTAGTTTTCAATGCAGGAGAAAATGAATTGTACTGCATGCATTTTAGCCATTTAAATAGCTGCTGCTGCCACATACAGCTATTTGTATGTGATGATTACATTTTTTATAATTTATTTTTCAGATTCTTTGACGTGCTATATGCCAGACTTGCAGAAGGTGCCCTGCCCAGTTTGGAGTTGTAACTGCTAGACATAGCTCAAATAGGTGTATTTGGACTTTGAAACATCCAAATATAATTTTAAATGTAAGGGCATCTTATTAGGGATACTGGATATTCTGTACCTCATATAGAAACGGAGCTGCTTATTTATTCTGTAGCATTAGTTATTCCCTCATGCAGCATTGTGTGTCCCAGGATATTTTTAAATTCTATTTTCTACTGTTGACAAGCCAACTGCACAGTAAGTGGTGTATGGTAACTTCATTACTGTCACCGCATCTCCAGACAGGGAATGCTGTGCTTTTACATGAGTTCCTGTGCCTGCAAGGTATCTCATCTGTTGGACAATTAGGATGTGATTTTTGCATAGCTCCTCCAGCAGCGTGTCTGCAAAAGTGATAGCGATCTCTGTTTTAAATTCATTTCCTTGGAAATCCACACAGGCAACAGTAATTCCTACCTAGTTATGTTCACATGTGCCCCCACACTCGTCTTTTTCTCAGAGAAATGGTTACCACGTAAAGAAGTAATGCTATAATTTAAGCATGCCAGGATGTTTTAAAACTGGTTCCAGACACCAGTCAGTTGTAGGAGTATATTAAAAATGTTTATATATATTTAAACTCTGAGTGCAGACAGAGAACCAATTTACACTCTCTGCTATGGTGTAAAGGCATAATTAGCTGGGTTGAGAATTAGTCAGACACTTGTTACCTTGGCTTGTAAATGAATAGGAGCTAGTGGCCAACTCTCAGCACTGGAGAAAGTTGTCATGTTCCCACCTACACATGAAGGCCCAAAGGGAGAACTGTCTACTCTGCCTTCTTAGCTGGTCATTACATACTGCATGTTTTGGCTTCCTCTACAAGCTTCTGATAAGTAAAGAAATTACCATTTCTCTTTGTCTCAAGGAATGTTCCCTTCTGTGTGTCCAGGACCCCAGAAAAGAGACTGGCCACAAGCAAAATTCCATGTACAGGTGAATTTACTATTAGTCTTAGGAGGCAGGTCAGAGAAAGGGAAAAAAAAAGGGTATCAACACTGTTCTTGTGGGTAAATTATTAGGTGAGACTTAAAGTAACTTAGTAAATGCTAAAGTACTTGTATCCAGATTTCATTTTCCAGGAGAATTTCTGGGCTCCTGAATCTCACTCTAGAGCTCTGCAGCATAGTGTATGATGGATTTGCCCTTCAATTTAGCTCTGATAGAGTTCTGGTAGAGTCTCATACAGCAGCTTAAGAGATTATTTTGTAATACAAAAAGAGCTTGTTTGCCTAATTTGTATGTAAAATCTGAGTTCGTTTCCTGGTTACATCAATAATGTACCTTAACCAAAAGTTTTATCCACTTAGCCTTGTTGGATTCTTCTACCCTAAGTGGGAAGAGGCACATTTATCTGATGTGTATAACCACTTTGGACTCCAGTTGAATGAGTGAAGATATTTTTATCACTGACTGACCACAATATAGCTTTTTACTATTGCACTGATTAGTAAAACATTCATGAGGCTAGTTCAACCAAACTTTCAAGTATGTGCTCAAAAAAATATGATAAAGTTAACTATGAATACATTAAAGAAATAATAAGCATATGCATTTACACAATGCAGAAGTAAAAACTAAAAATATATTTTTACTTTGGCTTTAGAAAGTCCTGTTTTTTATGCTTTGTTATAAAGCTTGCTACCAGCCTTTACAAACAAAGTACACAACATTCTTTTCAATCTATACCCTTTCTGCGCAATATCCTCACTCTACCATTGTGAAATGCTTGCAAATCTCCCTGCCCTTTTCAGGCTAAATATGGGGGAAAGTTGTTCCCTAACATGTTCAGGCAATGTTGCATCAGTATGCCAAAAAAATAAGTTAAATTCTTGACAACACACTTCTGTACACTTTGTAATTAACCTGAAGACATTCTTGACCTAGAAGATGTTTTCAAACCTACTCTGAAACTCAGCTTCTAACTCAAATGATGGATGCCCTGTGTTCGTGTGCATCATGTCCTTACTAGACATTAGACTGCAACTATTCCTTTGGTTGGTTTTGCTGTGTATTGGTGGTAACAAATTACCTGAGCTTATTATAAAATAGTGTAATCAGGAATGCCTGGTTTTGCTTCATTGCTTTTTAAAGTGTATTAGTGTCCTGTGCCCTTGCATTTGGGTCCTCTCTTAAATAAGAGGCCTTGTTTTTTCCCATCAAAAACACCCAAAACACACATACTATACATACATACATACTTGTATGTATGTATGAAAAGAAAGTGAAGGGTTTCTGAATGCTTGTCACCTGCCTGTGAAACCCCTTCTAGTCCTGCAACTGTCAGCCAAAAATGCTTCTACTGAGCTAGAGCCAATGTGGTGAAATGAGATCACATATGGTGGACACTGAGCGAAAAGATGCAGTACCTCTGAGACATGTTACTTTAACTGGATCCAGAGGACGTCTTTCAGGACCTGTCTCTCCTGACTGCACTGACCTTTTCCTTTTTCCAAGGCCGCATGAGTACTTAAGCTCATCGGTTGTGAAAACAAATCTGATGAGATAGCGAAGGAGCCGTCGTCCATCTTTCTTGGAAGAATTTACAGCCTCATCCCACTGTTTACTAGTGATGTAGACAGGGTAGTTGTTCAGCAACTGCTTACTCCCCTGAAAAATGAAATATTTCTGTTGCTTATTTTACAAGGCAAATAAATGAAGAGGTCAGTTGCAATAAAAGATAAGTTTTAAACTATCCACGATACTGACAGTGAAACACAACCCAAAGTGAACATGTAATTACTCTTACAGAGAATGAGTACTTCTAAAATTACATTTCCATCTTCTAGAATTCAGATTGGGTGAGGTACAATGAATACATTTTGAGAGGTGTAGCTATTGATAATTTCCACTTTTACAAGCAGTTTAAAAAGAGTTAAGAATCAGCAACTGGGCATAGTATTAAGTGTAATGTTTCTTCTTAATATGGTAGAATGCATAAAAAGCTCTCTTTGAAGACCATGATCAAATGGATCACTTCATCACAGCTAATAGTTTACTTCAGAGGCAACTCTTTTGGTCTATTCTTATAATAAATTTATTACTTCTGTACAGCACACCTGAAACTTGACAACAATTATGTTACTGTGAAAAAGGTAAAGAAAATAAGTAAAGCAACTATGAAAATGAAAAGCTTCATTATTATTAATGAATGTTGTATTAACTCAAATTATAGCTTTAAAGAAATGCCACTGTGTCAGCTGGAAAGAAATTTTGCTTTTAACTTTTCTTAATCTGTGTGCTTCAATATTCCAACATTAAATGAATGCTGTGGGACTAATTATGGGGATTCCTGTAATCCACACACATTTATAAGCCCTCTTAAGTCAATTGTACCGAAATTGTATTTAATTCTTGTTGCCCGTAAAATGCTATCGTTCAGGATTACCCAATTAATGTAAGATGGTACTGTTAATATACTTGAAATAATTGAAGTACACAATAAAAACCCAAACCACACCCTCCTAGAGACGCATTCACTTCTACAGCTGCACCTCTTTACCAAACCACAAAAATCTGGAAGCCCAATTAGTGAACTCTTTGTGCAGCCCTCAGGTTCGACAGGTTGCAGTGACCTAGAGAAACCCAGGTCTGATGCTCAGTGAGGTGCTCAGCCACATGCCACACTTGTGGCCAGCTGCTGCAAAATTCTCATTTCCAGGCTTTTGATATCTGAAAACTACTTGCCTTCTTTCACGTATTTATTATAGCATCTTGGGAGACAGCTTGAGAGCATCTTTGAAGTTTTTCCTCAGGTATTTGCTTTTAATTTTTTTGCAAGTTTGATAAATATATGGAAGATTGAGATTAGTGAAGACTGTGCTGAGATTATCATTAGATAATATGTATGATCTAGAGTCACACCACCTCCCAGTGGGGTTAGCATCACTGGGAGCTCAGCCTGCATGGCTGTCTGCTACTTGTTTGCCTTGCTATAAGCTGCTGGCAAAAGCAGCTACTGGACCCAAAATACTGCAAAGGAAGCCAATATGTAAGGGAAGAGATGGGCTTTGTCTGTCTGAGGGGTCTCTCGCCCCAAACACCTCAAGATTTCACTCACTCCCCTGTAGCTATAAATTCAAGTAACACCCTTCACCTATAGTATACTCCTGTTAAATTTGGGGCTTTCTCTTTGCACTTCATTATCTCCTAAGGTCACTGCTAACAGGTCAGGGTCAATTCCTGCCCTCCATTAATGATACAGGCAGCTGCTTCAGGTTTTGCCCAGTACATGATCCCCTGGGAAGCCAGTAATAAGTCTGAAGACTCTGCCATGGGAGAACATTACAATCCATCCAGTCTAGCTCCTTGTCCTCTTCCTACACTGTGAAGGAGGTGGGGAAGGAAGAAGAGTAGAGGGGCAGCATGAAAAGCTCTTTGGAGGTAATATACTCTTATGTAGTTGTGACCACTCTGTCCCAGGGGGACCTGGCATGAGCACTCACTTGGCTTGTTCCACTACATCAGTACAAAGGACCATGTGATCCTCATGCTGGTACTTAAAGTTTTTTTCAGCAGCTAGCTTCACATCCCTTTCATATAAAGCAAGTTATTTTCCTACCTTTGATTTCTGACACCTATTGCTTTCCTATTAAAACAACCCTTTAGCAAAGCAATGACCATTCTAACTGTTACCACTGCAAAGGATAAGCTGCAGGTAACTGTAGGTACTGCCTTGCTTTCAGGCCCTGCCAGACCTGGTTTATGCAATGCAAGCCCATAATGGCACAGGGTTAGGCTCCAGGCTTGCTCATGTGCATTAAGGACAGATGCTCATGGGCGGCTTTGCTAAGCAGCAAGCTATCCTAGAAGCTATTCTCTGTTTATATATATAGCATTGATGAAAATAGGGTGCAGAAAGGCCCAACATCTAGATTTCGTGAGAGCTCACATTGCTATTAACTGAGGAGAGGGTAATAAATTTTGCGTAACTCCTCAACCTCAATTTTATAATACTTCTTTCTTGTTCACCCTGAAATGTAAGATATTTTTCCTCATTCTTCTCCAAGGCATGATATAGTGTTATGCTACTCTGTTAAACAATTACTGGATTCCTGCTACAGATGCACTTTCATTGCTTCCTCAGAGAGTAAAGCACTTCTGTGCAAAACATTCTTGGTAAATACATGATGTGGTTTGGTGTGTCCAGCAGTCATTAAACTAAAACAAACATAAAACCTCCCAGAAATGAAATAAGCAGACTCTGAAGGAAGGAACAAAAATACAAACGTATCTCTCCTTGTATTTGTACATGATGAAATTTATGAAAAAAAGATTAATATCTGTGTGTTTAATTGAATAAAAAATTCTGTCACACTGTGACAAGCTATTCCTTGTGAGACATTACAGAACAGCTTCAGCTTTTACAGTACTTGAAAATTTTAGTTAAGCAAAAGAGCATTAAAAAAAGGAAAATGAATTCTTGGAATATACTTGACTGATAACAGCAAGTGATAAATATAAATATATATATATATCAATTTGCACAGGATGGAACAGAATGGAGGAGCAAAGTGATATACACCCTGAACTGCTGCATGCCGCGTGCAGCCACTCTCAGTCACACAGCTAAAGCTGTCACCAGATAGCCCTAGCCTAAATTCTACCCACAAATATGGTGTTTCTGAAGAAAGAGGAGAGAAAAACTACCCAAGGCAAGCACACCTGGTGCTGATGGAGAGAGTTAGGTGCTGCTCAGTAAAGTAACTCTAGATTATACTAATTATGTGTTTCCTACATTTAGGGGATTACTGCACTTAAGAGTGGCAGTTTTTAACCTGTTTTTACTACAAAATGCCTACTGATTTATTTGCCTACGTGTTTGTAATGAATTATGAAGCATAAAGAGATGTAGCTTGTTTTCACTGTACACTACCTCGGTTGGATGGTCAGCTGGCTGTGGTACCATAAGCTGGTTGTGATGCTGAAGCACAGTCTTCAAATAATCTAAAACCGTCTGGCAGGGCACTGCATGAAACAAATTGCAATTACTGTATGTTAGCTATAAAGCATAAAATAGAACAACAATATTAAATCAAGCAGTGTTCCTTAGTATCTCTTTTCTATGTCTGTGAGATTTATTTCAAATAGAAAATACTTCTCATTTTGATTTGTGAAGATATTTCATTTAATAAATGTACAAGTATTGTACTGCCTATACCGAGATCTCTGAAATTAATTTTATTTTTCTGCCCGCGAGCTTTCAAAGGGCTTTTTCCTAAGTTTGAAATGATAATTACTACAAGTACAAATTAGGTCAGCAGTAATGATAGTAAGGAAAAGAAAAATCTGTAAATACTGTAAAAATCCCAAATCATACAAAGGAGGAAATATTTATTGGACCTAAATAATGCATTGATTAATATGTAAATATGCTTAAATGTTTTTGAAACTAGAGTCTGATTAAAAATACTAAAGAGATTCAATGACTGGTATATGCCAATTTCTACTCCCTCCCTCCCCCCAAATTTATTATAAAACTAGGTGTTAGAAAAATTGCTTTATTTCTCTTTGCCCTCATCCTCTCCACTTTCCATTCCCATCACTCTTATCCATTTCAGTAGTGGTACCAACATCCTATTCCCTTCTGTTGAGGTGATAGGTTAATTAGGGATGATTCAATTATGGGTCTCTCTTAAGCAGATGCTGCCACATCCCTGATTAACTCTGGAGTATTTTTGAAATACAGCTCTTTTCTCCTGAGCCTGAAATACCATAGGAGAATTAAACAGATATTAATCCAACATTACAAGTTACTTGTGCAAGACTAAATAAGCACAGTTTCTAAGGTACTTTATGATTTCCACATTTTGAATGGGTTGTTTTTGTAAAGTATTCAGATTTAATTGGAGCTTAAGCTCAAAACCTAGATGAAACATTTACATTCCTTTTTTTTAATTACTATTTCTTGGAATTTTATTATTTCTTTGCACCTGAAAAAAATGTGGTGTTTTGGGCTTTATCTTAAGCTGGCAGTCTGAAAGCAAGCACTGAAATATCTGAGAATGTCTGAAGGTAGGATTTATGGGTATTTTGCCCTATTTTCTTGGCATTCACACCACACAGCTTACTATGGCCCTGTCTAAGCAGACAGGGTGCAGAACAAAATTACTCTGTGCAAAACAGACCCTTTACTATGGGATAAGAGGAGTTACATCCAGCAGTCTGCATATAGAAGTCATGTGAAGTGCCTGATATGATTAATAAATTTCTATGTTATTGCACTCCACGTTGACTTATCTGTAAAGACAACCCATCACTGTATTTACTCCTGCTTCTGTTTTTTCACACAGTAAGTAATCTCACTGCAGGCTATCCAAGGATGTGTTCACCTATGTTCTTCCAAGGGGATGGGGCTTAATTGAGAAGACAACAGGAAATTACTTAACCTGTTGTGTCCCCAGCAGATGAAGTGCAGCTCTACTTGAACTCTATGCTGCTGATAAAATGCCTTTTCATTACCACTAAGAAACATGAAAGTACTAAAAGCTGGCCAAAGCTTATAAAAACTTCTATCCTCATAAAAGCACAATTTGAGCATTGTAGGCTTTTTTAAAAATCATTGTAGTGATTGAAGGATGCTGATCACTTCTGACTTTAAAGCCATGACACAGCAGTTTGCTGTTGATACAAATAACCTCAGCCTTCCAAACATCACCTGCTACTTGCAAATCCAGATTTCTTGGGCTGCCATATTAACTGAAACATAGAAGAAACCACAAAGAGGGCAGCACGAGGTGGAGAGTCAAAGCTTTGGTTTTGTTGCTGTGTCCCTCTTATGGCTCTGCAGATATCCTCTTTGCTGAGAACTGTTTCCTCCAAACCCTTCAGGAAATGTAGCTTCGTAAGAACCTGGAGGTCCCAGCTAGGAAGATGAATAATCCTTTAAGTCTACCAGTTTATAATTTTTTTTATCTTTGATGGGCGTCTCTACAGGTTTAACAAGATCATAGCCCCATGGGCTGATACTCTGCATGTTTATGCAGGTATCCACTATCAGGACATCACCAACAGGTATTTGTTCTTACTGTAAGTAGTGGGAGAGATACCAACATCGAGATAACAGTTGTTATGATTTAGTAAAAAGCCTGTGGGGAGGCAGTAATTTTCCTGCCCATTAGGGAAGAGGTTTCCACAGCCTTTACTTTCTGCAAGTGTCAGCATCTCAGAATGGACACTGGAGATGGCCTGCAGAGAGGGAAAGGGCAAGGTCTTTGCAGGAGCTAAAGGGCAAGGAGGAGGAGAGCCTACAGGGAACCTGGTGTGCCAGGGAACGCTGGTCTGGCTAAGATGTTACCAGGACACATGTAGAAGGTGGCAGGTGTTTGCTGTTACTGATCCAAGTTTAAGATTTTGTTGTTAGTCAGGGTATCGGTATGTTGTAATAAGTGCTTATTCAGCACAGCTTGTCACAGCCTTCTCTGCAGAGAATCTTAATTTCTAATGAATATCTGAACACATGCACTGTGCCAATGACAAAATCCAGGCTATGATCTCTCGGCCTAAGCTGCCACACAGCACAGCGACTGCCTGGATTAAATCCTCCTTGCCACAGACAGCATCAGTGGGTAAAACACCGTAGAAATCTGTCATCTCCCAGTGATGCAATTTCTACCCACAGGAACATAAACCTTATTTCACATCTGAATTTTGTTTTCCTTCAAACTGGGGTTCACAAAATTTCTTGGAAAAGAAATAGAAAATGCCTGTTACTTGCTACATACTTAGTGGTAAAATAATTTCTCCCTCTTCTCTTTCTTAAGCCCAGCACTGATCTTCCAGAGGTGTTAGGGTCCTGCTAAAAGTGGAGTCCCTACACCTACTTAAAAGTCTGTACAGCTGATGGCCACAGGTCTTTTGGCCATGCTGTGCATCAATACCCAGGCAGAAAGTCACTGTGACTTCCAAAAGCCTTTCTCAGTGCCCTGCAAGCAGAGCCATGTTCTCTGTACCCCAATACACAGAGATTGGCCAGGTCTGTCACCTCGCATCTTCCTCTCTCACAGCTGCCTCTGCACCTCTTGCAAGCTGTAGGCAATGACTGTATGCTTTCCCTCATGGATTAAAGTATTAAAAACATGGGCTCTGAACAGTTTCACAAAAACATCCCTCCAAAAATTCAACTACATCACCGCAGTTTTCCTGAACACAAATCTATTTGTATTTTTAAATAATGTTTTGTAATTTAATGTTATGTAACACCCTGAATAACTGCAATACTCATCAACCAAACTTTCCATCTCATCAAAACCATAATTTGGCAAGATGCAGCCTAGTACTAATGCCATTATTCTGGTTAGCACTCTATTAATTGAAGCTGGCATCAGCTGTACAATTAGTTTGTCTCGGCTCAATATCAGGCCAACTAAACCACCATCATCCAAGATATCTCACGTCCTTTAATAAAAAAATCAGATATTATTTCCATCTTTCAGTCTTCTGAAGCATCCAAAATATTACAAAGAAAATAAAGATGGTAAATAAAGAAAAATGATGGTCAGAATTGTCTTTTTCATGTTGGGTTTAGCTCCTGAAGTGAGTTGTCCAGACCTCACGGTTTTGAAAAAAAGACACTTTGGTAGCAGCTGCCTTGTGCCTTTGTTTGATGTGCACTTAGGGAGGAAAAGCTGCGGTGCCCAAACAGTACTGCTCTTCAGTGTCCCAGCACTGAGAGGCAGCTGGGACAGGCAGCTGAGGCTGCAGTCCCACATGAAGCTGCTGATAAAATGTATGAGAACACCTAGAGTTACAATGGAAATGGAAAATATTTCTACCTGCTTACCATCATCATTATATTGGTGTGACTGCATCATGCTACTCTTCACAAGTACCAGAACAGAAATACTCAACAAACAGTTCCATATTATTGATAAAATCTATTTCTGTCTGATAATGGTCCAATACTGTTGTTAGGATGTCATATTTTTCCTTTATTTTGCCAGGGAAAGGAAGACTTCTCTAGACAATGCTCCACATTTAATTTTAATCATTAATTTTCCATTGATAAAACTGCATTTTACACATCACATAGACTTTCCCTCTAATCTATTTGTTATGCTTCTAACTCTTCCTTTACTTTCCCTCTAAACTGGTTGGTTTTGTAACCAGTTGTACTTTTCCTCTGACATAGTATTTGGGGCCTTAAGTGACATGTTTTTAATGTTTCCCAATTATCACCCACTCTATTTTTTTTTTTACTTTTGAACATTTGCCTCTAATAATTGTTTCCAAATTTTTATGAAGAGACAAGAACATCCCCCCTATTACTGGTTTGAGCTGGCTTTTTGCTCATTATAAATGTTACCAAGACACAGTCACTTACACTGGTATCTGTCAAAATGAGAACTCTCATTTATCCTCCCAAAAATGCAGCCTCCAGTGTAAAACATTCCAGGGCTGTTTATACTGCCAAAGCACAGCACTGTGAAGAGATGCTTGGGCTTGCTGTAAATACGGCGCATCTCCAAGGTAAATAAAGTGCATCTCCAACCTCTCCTGCAGCATCAGACCGTCCCAGTGAGAAGGGATGGCTCACCCCCAGTTTGGCTGCGTATGTCTCTGCAGTGGCCTCATCCCCATAAACAGACAGTAAGAAATCTGGTTATTCTGTAATTGATAAGATTTTGTAGCTGACACTGCCTAGTATTCCTCTTGGTGCTCTGCAGAAGATGAATCCCTTAGCACCCAATACCATTTACCTCTGACTCACCAGAGGGCAGGAGAGTTGGGAAGGGTGAACATCTACATCCACCCTGCTCAGGCCAGCAGCTGTCAGCCAAGAGTGGCTCAGCACTACACTGTGTCCTCCTTCACTTGACCTTGAGCAGTGCTGCTCTCCGAGTTCATTACAGGGCATTTCTAAATTGATGCTTGACTGTCAAAAAGATGTAACAAATGATAGGGAACGTGCTGATGAACCACAGGGCTGTGTGAATTTCTTATAACATTAATGGAGATGCCTTTGCTGC